TTACTTGTGTCATGCACAAAGTAGATGTCCTAACCGACTTGCCAAAACTATAGTTTGTTAACAAGAAATTTGTGGAGTGGTTGAAAAACGAGTTTTAATGACTCCAACCTAAGTTTATGTAAACTTCAGACTTCAGCTGTGTAGTAGTTCCATTGTCATATGTTGTGGTACATGATTGACTTGAACTTCCTTTCTCGTGACACAGAAACTACCCACAAAAAACATGCACAATGGCTGCATGGAACCCTCATTTTGCTTTTTGCTAAAAAGCATTACAATATGTCTCCAGTGCTACCTCACACATTTACTGTATCTACAATGAATGGCAAATGTATCATTTATGACTCAAGTTTCACACAATTCATATTCTCTGCAGGCTACATGAGGTTGACAGCCTTTTAGCGGCCTTTGATTACACAACACAACCATCATAGCAAAGTCCAAAATACCTAGGTGAGTTGATCCAAGGCTTTATTCTTGTTATTCAGTAGTTGGCACCATTACCCTTTTTTAGATTGACTACCTTGAATTATGTGTGTTCATGTTGGTAAGCATGTTGGCTGGGTTTCTGTATAGCCCTTTGTGACATATGCTGATGTAAAAAGGGCTTTTTAAATACATTTGATTTGATTTGTTGGCTCAGTTGTGTAGTTTCTATTCCCTGCACAGTGACTGTGATCTCCATGGAGGTGACTTATCTTTTGGGAGGCTTGATATTTGCGTAGATCGTGGAGGAGTGGGTATGGGACTACTCCATCACAGTCACACTAATACACAACGGTCTGACGGTAGCAGGTAAGCAGCAAGAGATTGAGGCAAGGGGACAAGAATCTCATAGTCCAAGGGTTCATAAATGTAAGCTTTTCTGAACAAACCTGACATAACTCAAACCATCACTGACTTGTATTTGGCATATTTACTCTTTAGTTAAATCAACATATTATTACAATTATGTATCTATGGACAGCCCACTGCCTGCTGTCTACTTTGTATTCAAATCTGTGTCAAGCACCATGCTTCAAAGATCCCTCTTTCTATTGTGTAACATCAATTAGTGTTGATATTGTATAGCAGCCAGCCCACATTCTGTAATGACGTCTGGCAGCCTGGTGCTGCCTGTGCTCTACAGTAATGCCAGGTTTGATAATAGCAAACACATTAATGACTCCACATGAGTCTACTTCCCACCTGAGACACATTTTTCAGAGGATATTTTAGTATGAGTTTCAGTAATGGCTAATGAATTGGATTAGAAGAACAAACAATGTCAACGTTAATCACTGAATTGATGGGATTTCAATCTAGGTTATGTTAGGCACGGTTGTAAGGCTGCTTTAGTATAAAGATGCTTGTCTCCATAACATCATGTTCATACATGCTGGTTCATTAATTTCACAAGCTGAAAGAAAGCTTGATTTAATTAATGTATTAGTTTATTATGGTTGAAAATGTGTCATATTCAATTACTATCCTGTCTGTTTCTTTCACCCAGTTATGTCAGATTTTTCATCACCAGAACATTATTGGATTGCTCTTGGTAAGGAATCATACTTGATGTCAGGCAATTGGGAGCCAATAAAAATATAATTATTGTCATGTATTTTCATTATTGCATGAATTAGTCATTCTACTTTATTTTGCAAGTGATTCAATACTTAGGTTCATGATTAAAATCTACTCTTTCACTAATCTTATCCATTCTGTGTTTTCCAGGTCCTGGATTGGTGATGATGATGGAGGCCAACTTCTATCATACAAGCTTTTCAGGAATAATGATGTGTATCCAGAAGAGCTCCAACATGTCTGGCAAAAACATTTACAGTAGCTTTTCTTCTACAAAATAATGTAGAGTCAATGATATTGTTTTATATTCTGGTTTTTTTACTGCACACTTTTGGTACACTATGAATCCACATATTATATTTTGCAATTATAGGTTGTTTGGAAGGAATTGTTGGGAATATTAAACACTTCTTGCCAACAATGCTTTTTGCTTTATGTATCTTGTCCATATCCTCCTCCATGCCATTGAAAATAATAAGGAATCACGTGATCTTTTTAGAGGTGAAATAAACACAATTGTTATTACTGTGTTATTATTGTAACAAAGTGTTATTACAAAGTGTTATTACTGCATTATTACTGGAACAAAGTGTTATTACAAAGTGTTGTTACTGCGTTATTACTGGAACAAAGTGTTATTACAAAGTGTCATTGCTGTAACAAAGTGTTATTACTGAGTTATTACTGGAACAAAGTGTTATTACAAAGTGTTATTGCTGTCTTATAACACATTACCTCATTAAAACGCTAAGAAACCTTTGGGATAGCATAGTGGTGAATGTGATTAAGCCTGAGCATCTGTTGTCTGTTAAAGCCCTTTGGATTAAGCATGCTTAGAATTACTGAGGCAGTAGTGAGCAGTCAGTCAGTCGCTCCTCCTCATTACCTTGACTGGTGTCATTTCAGTACTGAAACCAACATCCGTCTCTTGAAGGGGGTCAGTCTGCTGATCACTCCAGTCTGCAATACTGACCCAAGTCACAGTTGTAATCCCAGTGACCCTACATTTACACAGACACAACCCAGACAGGGAAGTCAAAGACTGAGAGTAAACTAAAAGGATTGAAAATCTACAACAGGAAGTACAGTATCTACCCCTAATATGGTTGATTTGCATCACACAACACATACAACTGTCAGACCCACAGTTTGATTCTCAACTGTCCCCTTCCATTCACTTTGAGAACATTAATAGCAGCATGTTCTTTGTAGTGGATTTGTAGTTGGAATGAGAGCACAGGAAAGAAGGGCATTAATCATTTAATAAGATTACGCAAAGGTGCAGGAGGGTGTATGGGAAGGAACGCAAGGGCAGCTCTTTGGGGGCTGATTGCCTACGGTGTGTATGCTCTGTGTGAGTGTGTGTGTGCGTGTGTGTTTGACTGTGTGTGTACATTAACACCACTCTGCAGCACATGGCAAGGTGAGCCATGGAGTCGAAGAGGTCCTCCCCTCACATGGGATAAGGGGGTTCTCCTCCCCTCTGCAAATAGAGCGTTGGACCTCGACACAAAATGGTTACCATGGTTTCCAAATTCGTCTATTATCTTCATCTAAGGTATGGAACCGATTTTAGGGCTTGTTTTACTGAATGTGTGTCATACTGTATCTATTATGGGATATGGACTTGAGTGACTTATGTGTCGACTGTGTTACAAGATCTCTGAAAACACATACTATCCTTTTTATTTCTGATGAGGTTCTGTGTGTTGAGACAGGGCAGCTTGGTAAACGGTGGGACTTCATGGATTGTAGCTACTAAGGTCATTCCTGATAGTCCTTTAGCCATGAGAGATATAAAGTTGACAGAGCTGCAGAGGGAAAAGCTGTCAGAAATAAGAAATGTGAAATATCAGGAATAACAAAATAGTAATCCATAGGCGCTAAATCATATGAAGGCTATTGTTCCGGCAAAATAAATATATTTGTCACCAAAGAACGTGAAAAATATTGTGTTGACTTTCCAAAGCTTGTGCAGGAAGCCAAGCAACAACACCTCTGTCATGTGCAGATTCAGTTTCACTCCATTCTTGTACCTGCTGGTGTACATTTCACCTTGGTAAGAGCTTTTCTCAGATCATAGTCCACACCTGTCCAGAAGGACTGAGATGGAACATTATTAGTCTAATATCAGGGTTCAAGTGTAACATGCCAAGAATATAAATGTTTCTGTTTAGTGAATTCACACAGCGTTTTGTTAGGTGTTATCACAGCAATGGATCCAGATCCTTTTGAGCATCATTGCCAGTGATTCTTACACAAAGGGATTTCCTCTGCTGCACCTGACATTCACAGAACATTGTTGTAACTGACCACCAGATGGCAGTATAGAGGTAGCCTACTAATTTACTGTTGCATGTTAGGCCTTTGTTGTAATGGCCAGTGCTGCTCAGATGTCAAACCTATGAGGCATGTTGGAGCTGGTCTGATAACTTTCCACACCATTATAACCAAGAGAGGTCTTCCGATTCAGCCTGCCAGACTAATGAATATTCACTAATTGATGGCAACAGAATGTAACCGTTTGTAAGTGTAACATCATGGCTTTGTCTTCTGGCATGCACTAAAGGCCCACATGTAAATATCTAGTTCTTCAACAAACAGTCATTTGTAGTATGGACATTTACATAAATGTCACAAAATACATGAATTAAATAATATGTAACAACAACATGTTTGTACTGCCGTTATTACCGCGTTACTACACAGGTATAAGATCAACGTAATGCAGGCTTAAATGCCATGAATCCATATCACTAGACAGTAGTCACAGAGGACCTCAGATCCATAATGGTGATTAGAATGATTAATTCAAATTCACAAAGTACAGGTGAAATGACAGGGAATAAATCATTATAGTGTATTATACTGCATAATACATCATGATTCATATCAGTATAGGCCAAAGATTAGCTATAATATACTGTAACTTGGAATATTAGAGTAGTAAAACATTATTGTGCCGTTTTCAGGTTTATGCCTAATATATGCCATTTAGCAGACGCTTTTATCCCAAGAGATGTACAGTCATGCGTGTATACATTTTACATTTTACGTTACTTAACTTGACAAATGTATGACCCAGATAGGATATCAGTATTGCTGGGGCCAATGGCTGGGGGACCATATAAAGTACGTAGATAAGATAGATGACTGGGACAAGAAAGAAAGTGATGTTTCATACGGTTTTACAGGTCTGACCCCGCCCAAATTACACCGCCCAACAGCATTCTGGGCGGTGCTTTCAGGCATCTGTTGATTATCCATGTGTGAGTTTGTTTTGCATGGCCCGGTGCCCCTTGTGCGCAGAGTTTGTATATTTTAGACCATTACATTGGTACTTAAGTGAAATGTACACTCACCCGGAGCACCGAGTCATGCAAAACGAACTCTCCCCATGTTGTTAGGGGAGGCAGTGAGATCATTGAAAGAGACAACTCCCCTCACACACAGCACAGCTCTCCTATTCCTGGAGGCTGTACGTTCAAAGTTAACTGCGAACTTCAACAATAATACGGCATGAGTCGGGCAACATGAGTCACCAGCAGGACGCCAAGGGAGTCATCTTGACCGGATATTTTAGCAATAGTGAAGTTTTACCGCCTGCCTCGGGTGTCAAAAGTGCCGAAGAGATCGAGTCTTCATCGCTGAGGTGAGCGGATAGTCTGTTATTGGCCATAGCCTACTCCCTACTGTAAGTAACGTTGTAACATTGCCGCGTGAATAGTTAAGAAAAGGTGCAAAGGTCTTCCAGTTGCCCAGTTTGTAACCTCTAACAGAAAGAACACTCAGTGTAGTCCCCAAGTCGCCCCTGACTTTTCAATGTGTTGACACATTGTTACCATGTTGACACATTGTGTGAAATTAAATGAGTTCTAGACTAAACAAGCAGTGTAAATACAGGCGTGCGTATGATAATGATGAGGATGAAACTGTTTATATGATATGTAAATCATAGAAGTAGGCCTACAGTAGTCAATAAGTGATTTTTCATATGTAGGCTACACTACGTCACTATGCCGAAATTAGACTGTCCAAAAACACCTCGTTTTATTAGGCTAGAGAACTTGAGAGCAAACCCTAACACAAAATAGATATTCTGTTTATTTACACAAACTTTGTTTGTTCTGCACATGTTTAAGAAAGTGTAAACACTATCAAATAACAAACTCCACGCTTACAGGGTGAGGACACACACACGAAGACAGCACTAGCCAGTTGAAACATGATGCTGTTTTTCCAATTCAAGAGGCCATCTGTAAAAGCCAGTGTCTGTTATAGGCTGCAGCTATAGTGGATGAGCCCTGTCATGAATGCAGGTGCCTCCACTCTCCAGCTGGGTCTGAGGGTCCCCAGTGGCCCTACAGAGGGCTGGCCCGGCCAAGGCTGTTTTGGATACTACATACAGGGGTCTGTCTGTACTACTGTGCCATAGTAGCACCATCCATAGTTGGCATGGTGTGGCAAATGTGGCACCTACCTCTCTTGTTTGTCTCATGTGCCAGTTCAATTGGTCTTGCTTCTGCATGGGAACAGAAAGATAAAACAAAAGTCTAACTGGGTGCATGTTGTGGTCAATGAATGTTGTCCAGTTTGTTGGAATAATAGCCTACAGTTAAATGTTTGTTATAATGAGAGATTTTGCCACCAGCTTACTGAGTCATTTTGGTCTTACTGTATGAACAAGTCACCGGTGGTACATAATTGACTACTCTCCACAGCTCTTTTGTTTTCCACTTATATTGAGTTATTAGATAACTATTCATTCCATGTAGACAAATAGAAAGAACAGAGTACAGCCCTTTTAATGAGTTGATAACGAAACAGTTTGTTCACACAAGTACAAAGAATGTGATATACAGATGGGTGTGTTGGTTCTTTGTGCCTGCATGTGTTTATTAAGTTAGGTTGTAGGCATTCATGTTTTGACCTTACATTTTTTTTCACTGTATAGATGTTATATAGAATAGGCATTCATTAATAATTGATCAAGTCTTTTTGTATTCTTTACATAATGTTGTGGGTCAGGTTATACCCAATCAATAAGCTCAGCCGGTAGTATGTTAGCTGTTTACTCCGACTTGAGTTTCTAATGTCCAAAACATTTTACATTTTAGTCATTTAGCAGATGCTCTTATCCAGTGTGACTTACAGTAGTGAGTGCATACATTTTCATATTTGTTCGTACTGGTCCCCCGTGGGAATTGAAGCCACAACCCTGGCGTTGCAAGTGCCATGCTCTACCAACTGAGCTACACAGGACCACAAAAGAGCAGGGTTAACAGGTTCAAGTCAAGGCCAAGTGAACAGCCTGTGTTATGATTTCCAACGAATCAGGTGAGCGGCTGAGCTTATTGTGAGTGAGATATAATATTGACTCAGGGACCACCTACCTTAAAATATCTGCAGCAGTGTTAACATGATGATGATGATGAAAACACATGGAGTCAATGCACAGAATCAACACAGGTTATCATCATAGTGTTATTGCTGCTGTTTGTGTTTTTATAGTTTTTCCATTAGCACAGCAGCACTCTTTACATTTCCTGTTGTTCCCAGGTGTTGGAAAATGTATTTCCACTTACAGTAGAGATTATTCTTACTTGTGTTCCTATTATTATTTAAGTCCTTTATCATTAAACTGCCAACAATGTCTTTTGAACGTCATATGTATTTAACATTTTAATATCTCTGCTATTTTTAAAGTCATGTCCCCCTCCGTCCTTGACATTTCCTAAATAAGTATATTTAACACATTGACGTTTTTAGAATTTTGATAACACAAACATAATTTGTGTTATAGGCAGTTTTAGGAGTACATATCACGGCGCAGTCTCTGAGGAATACAGTCACGCCTCTTTGAACAGGGAAGGGTTTGAAAAGTGTTCTTACCCTATTTTCTCTACACAGAGGAACATAAACTATCTCAAATCCCAGAACCCATCACTGGGGGCTTTCCCATGCAGTCTGTCCAATCCAGCTGGCCCATATGACCGCAGAACTTTGGCCTCAGTTCTTTGGAGCTGTCGCCATGGTGCATCCATTCACCAGGCACCACAGCATCTGCCCCCACATCTTGTACATGTGTTAAACCCAGCCTATTCTCCAGTCTCCTGGAAATGACATGTCATCTGAGAGTGTACTCAGGCAGTAAGTATTATACAGGAGATTGGAGGGTCAGTCAGACTGAAACCCAGCAGTAACGTTCCATGACTGGGGTTGTCACAGCAACCAACCGGCTTGGGCCCATGTGTCCCTGTATTACCTGTAGTGGATGTTTGGAATGTGCATTAGGAGTTAAGTCAAACTTGATTGCTAGTGCATGTGATTGACAGTAGTGTAATCCCCTGTTTCCATTACGGTGCTAAACCATGCATGTTCTGCCACAGTGCCACTATGTATTTTAGACACCTGTTGTCACCACACTTTGCCTCACAGTAGCACACTCAGGTTAAGGTTTAGTAAGCCTCCGAGATGGTACAGTATACCTGTGCCTCTGCCGCCTGACCTGCACTGTCAGTTCTTCTGTATGAATGGATCTAGAGTATACTATGGCCCCTCTCCTTTGTGTCTGTATGCAAAATGACCAGGCACTAAACAGCAGAGAAAGACTACGTTGTTTCCCCTTTTGTCCTTGAGCACTGGCAGTTTGTCACTCTTGGAGCCAGCAAGATAGCTGACCTTTCTATGTGAATGGGTCTGGCTGTGGGGTAACATTGGTGCTGTGTACATTGCTGGGATACTTGACTTTCCTTCCTTGTCCTCTTGATATCAAACCTTGCATGTGCTCCTAATGGGGAAGATGGTGTTTGCATTTCTGTCTTGGGATGGTGAAACACATTCCGCTTTCTCCCTGCACTCCCTGGTCTTTGTTCTATTTATTAGCACCTTATTCCCCTCCAAACCAAATGTTTGTGCTGTGTTTTAGCTTGTTCCCCATAAAGGTTTGAATAAATAAAATGTTTTCCAACCCTCAGATTCTTCCAGAATTGTTCAAACATTGTGGAACTATTAACTAGAAAACAGACAGCAATTGGTTTGTGACAGCATTTCCTCAACAACCTCTATGAATTTACGATTTGTAAAGGTGTTGTTTATCCAGGGCCAGAAATGTCAGGCGTTACTGATACCCTGTGTATTTCCTGTGGCTGGGAAGGAGCTGAGGGCTGACTCATTTTACAACCTCCACAGACCTCAGGTGAGGCCTAATAGGCCTGCAGCTCATTTATATTCTGCCCTGTCTATGACCATGGAACTCTTCACTGCGAGAAATAGACCTCAAAGCCATGAAGAACACTCTGTAGGCACATAGAGCTGGTTTTGAAGCTCATTTGTACTCTTTAGTTTGAGGTTATCAGATATTATTTCTGTCACCTTGGATGTGTAAAACATTAGCCTGGCTTGACCAAGATTGACCGTGTTTAGTATCAAGTGCGTAAGCAGCAGCAGTAATTTGGGAGTGTGGAACCGCTGAGGTTTCATGAATTATTTTTGCCACGCTAGGTGTCCCTTTAAAGGTCCAATGCAGAAGTTTTTTAAATCTCAAATTTCAAATCATTTCTGGGTAACAATTAAGTACCTTACTGTGATTGTTATTAACTAAAATGGTAAAAAATAATCAACAATAGCTTCATAGCAAAGAGCAATTTCTCAAGCAAGAATTTTGCTAGTACTGTCTGGGAGTGGTTTGAGTGGGGAGGGGAAAACTCAAAATTAGCTCTTATTTCTTATTGGTCTATTCACTAATTTACTGCATGGTGATGTCACCATGGATGGCCCAAACTCCCTCCCACCAAAACAGGCTGAAATTTCAGGCAGTCTTTTCGAACAGCTTTTACACTAAAAGGACATTATCATAATTTTCACAGTATTATTCCAACCTCATAGTGTTGAAATGTATATAAAACACAGGAAAATCACATTTTTGGCTGCACTGGGCCTTTAAGTGCAACCACCAGAACTATTAGGGGGAGGGGGGTGTAGCAGCTCTCTGATGCCCATCAGGAGTCCTCTTTGTGCTTTCCCTGGGTTCACTCGCATGGCGAAGCCTATCTGGAGCAAGCCAAGCCCACAAGCCCACGCATGCATTATCTTTAAACTAGTAACTTGGCATTTTGGAATAAATGAAAGGATCTAGGCTGTGGCCAGCTAACAGCAGCTGACAGCAGGGGTTGCACAGAATGACGTGCTATAAGTGTGACTCGGCCAGAGGAAAGCAGAACTGCTGCACTGACTGACTGAAATGAGTTAACCCTTCATGTTCATGCTAAACCAGGTTCTATGTGGAAAATAGAACTTGGTTTAGTACCAGACAACCACCCAGTTTTACTCATTATTAGTATGGTATGACTTGTAGTATTTATAACTCATCCTAAAATTAGTACCAGACAACCACCCAGTTTTACTCATTATTAGTATGGTATGACTTGGAGTATTTATAACTCACTAATAAAATTACTGTGAAATAGTACTCATAATACTCTCTCCTTCTTTGTCCACCAGTCGCAGGACAGGCCACTACAGTGTCCAGAACCGGGCCAAAAATGTCCCGGGAAAGCCCCCGTACCACCGCTGTAACTCCCAGGACTCGCTGGACGAGCTGGCCATGGACGACTACTGGACCGAGGTGAAGAACATCACCCTTAGTGGAGAGGGAGAGGGGGACGCAGAGCCACAGGAGGAGGTGCAGCTTAAGGTGCCTGATGGTATGGAGCTCTACTCTATAGCAGGAGTGTCCTCTGGAAGCAGAGAGGAGATGCAGGTTGTTATAGTGGAAGGACCATATGCCCTTTCCTTCACCTTAAGTTGTTGAACTACTGCTTCAGGGTAACATTTCACCATGTACATTATATGACTAGTGATTTACCTAGATCACTGTCTGAAAGGATTATTTTATACTGAACAAAAATATAAACGCAACGTGAAAAGTGTTGGTCCCATGTTTTATGAGCTGAAATAAAAGATTCCAGAAATGTTTCATACACACAAAAAGCTTATTTCTCTCAAATTTGGTGTAGAAATGTGTTTAAATCCCTGATAGTGAGCATTTCTCCTTTGCCAAGATAATCTATCCACCTTACAGGTGTGGCATATCAATAAGCTGATTAAACAGCATGATCATTACACAGGTGCACATTGTGCTGGGGACAATAAAAGGCCACTCTAAAATGTGCAGTTTTGTCACACAACACAATGCCACAGATATCTCAAGTTTTGAGTGAGCGTGCAATTGGCATGCTGACTGCAGGAATGTCCACCAGAGCTGTTGCCAGATGATTTAATGTTAATGTCTCTACCATAAGCCACCTCCTAAGTTGTTTTAGAAAATTTGGCAGTCCGTCCAACCGGCCTCACAACCGCAGACCACGCGTAACCACGCCAGCCCAGGACCTCCACATCCGGCTTCTTCACAGGCGGGATCATCTGAAACCAGCCACCCAGACAGCTGATTAAACGGAGGAGTATTTCTGTCTGTAATAAAGCCCTTTTTGTAAGGAAAAACAAATTCTGATTGGCTGGGCCTGGCTCCCACATGGCTGCGCCCCTGTGATTAGGGCCTAATTTATTTATTTCAATTGACAGATTTCCTTATATGAACTATAATAAAGTAAAATCGTTGAAATTGTTGCATGTTGCGTTTAAATATTTTTGTTCAGTACATACAGTAGAGCTGACTAGGATAGTCTGGTCTGTTGTCCAGCACATGTTGTTTTGCAATACCACCACATAATGATTTATTTTCTTTCATCCACAAAAGACAATAGCCTTGCTTGATCCTACAGGATCAGGAAATGCCTATAAATAGCACTGCAGAAGTATATTGTTTATTAGGTTGACATTCATTGTTTTGTCTGGAGAACGTAAAGCAGGAACTTCCTTTTGTTTCTGTTCTTTTCTATAACAAGATGGTTGGTGTTAAGGGGGTAGGAGGGAGATCCTTCCCTGTTTCATGTCTTTCTCTATTCCCACACCTCAGTACAGAAAAATTGCATAATATAATAGTAATTGCACAGTAATAATCTATGAATTACTTGTTTGTTCCTTTATTATTCAATACATTGCTGTGTCCTCTCACTAGTCTTCAGGCCTACACCCATGTCTTTACCATTAACATACTACTGCTCTTTTGGTGCATCATCAACTCATAACACTCAACTTGTCTGTCTGTAGAGGGGGAACAGGAGGAGGCATGGCTGATGGAGGCAGGGCTGGCCACTCTGTTTGACGAGTCTGCATCGGACCCCGAGGAAATGATGGGGCTGTTGTCCACGCTGACGCGCACCCAGGCCGCCACCGTGGAGAAACGTGTTGAGAAGCTACAGCAGACCCTCAGGAAGAGGAACAAGCAGCACCAAGTACCTGACGTCAGAGACATCTTCAAACTCCCAGGCACGCCGGAGTCAAAGGTCAGCCTGCCACCGGTCCCGTTAACACCCCAAAAATCAGTCATGCCTGAGATGCCTCGCTACAGAACAAACCCAGTGACTTGTTTACCGTAGTTAGTTAACATAATTACTAATCACAATGTCTGTTAATGGACACCTGGATGTGAAGTAATACGTAACTGAATATCTTAATATTATGCAAATGAAGGTCTTGCACTCACAATTGGTGCAAAAAATATAACGACTTTCTACAATATCAGCAGTTATGCTTAGTTGTTTGATTCATGAATTGATCAAAATAAGCTATATTGAATTGTGATGAGAGCCTTTTTTTGTTCTGTGTTATGTTACTGGAGGATGAAGCAAAGTCACCAGAGAGAAGTGAAAATAGAATAAAGGATATTACGACAGATGGTATGTACCACAAGTTCTACTCACTAAATATGTGTCTGGTCATGTTGGTCTATACCTATAGAAAACATCACTGACTCATCACTTAACAATCTGCCACACAAATGAACTGGTATTTCTATACACTGCATTGTTGCTTTTATGTGATACTGTAGATTTCCTGAAATGGTTCATGATCACAGGAAGCAGAAGTGAAGATTCTACGGAAGAGCTGCTGAGTTGAGAAGATAACTCAGCAGCACACACACACACACAGGAAGCAGGGACATTGCCTCTCTCCGTCTGTTCCCGCCACCCCTCTGACCTTAACATGAAGGCTGTCAGGAATCTGCTCCCTATCTTCCATTATACACATGCCTGCTATTCCTATTAGTGGAGATGGCAGGGAGGCACTGCAGTTCTGTGTCCTGGTGTCAGAGCCAAGGCCTTACATGTCTGTCTGACATGGGTCACGGAGGGCAGACTGGCTCTCTGGCTGTTGACTCCCACAGGACTAGTCGTTGTCCCTTAGTGTCCCTTCAGTGGGCAGCACAGTCACCACCACCTAGTTCTAATCTCCCCAGCTCCCCACTGCTGACTAAAGACTTTGTCCCATCTGTGGACTTTCACACATCTAATTCATAATTCATCATGTAATCTCTTGTCTCACTATCAGCTTCTAGTTCTTCTCCCTTCCTTACTGTGCTGTTGGTCTAGCTTTTAATGTGTCCCAATAATGTGTGTGTGTGTGTGTGTGTGTGTGTGTGTGTGTGTGTGTGTGTGTGTGTGTGTGTGTGTGTGTGTGTGTGTGTGTGTGTGTGTGTGTGTGTGTGTGTGTGTGTGTGTGTGTGTGTGTGTGTGTGTGTGTGTGTGTACAGGTCAAGCGACGGGGCTGGGGAACGGGGCAGGCCCTGCTGAGCAGCGTGTGTCTGAACCTGAGACAGACATCAACCTAGAGGTGTCCTTCTCTGATCAGGCCCTCAGCTATAAGGAGGGATCAAAGGGCAGTGGCGAGGCGCTGACAGACGCAGATGACAAGCTACCTGTGAGTACCCTTTAAACATTAACACCACCACACAGATTGACTGAGTCGCTCAGCCGGAGCAAAGTTTACATGCCAAAACAGGAAGTGTCACTCGTCAACATAGCAGGATCCCATGGGCCAGTTTGGGACAAAGGATTTCAAATATTTGTATGTTTTTTGGCAGAAGCAGGAACTTTGCCCTGTAGTGTTTATGGAGTGAAATATGTTTCTGTGTTTACTTAGCCTACATCAGCAATGATTGACTAAATTATGATTTTATATTTATATAGGCCATCATTTACAGCGTTATTGTAGGCCTATTGATTGTGTACAAATGTAAGTTATATGACATTGAATGATGTCATTTGCACAGAAGAGAACATTATCAATCAAAACCTTTAAATAGAGTTTTTGTGTCATAATACATTTCACAGTCAAAACTGTACTAGCCTACTGGTGTTTCGGAGTTCTGTCTCTTGTTCTAGGGCCACCTGGTGGTGACACTCAAGTATAACCACAGATACTCCAAACAATGAACAAAAAGTGTCCATCTGACCTTGTCCAATAAGAAACGCTTGTTTTCATCTTCCATTGCAAAATGTTTTGCTACGGTGTGCACTAATGAATACAACCCAGTTTTGCTAACTGCTAATGTAACCTGTGCTTCTCTGTATGACAGAACTTCAAGTTAAGGAGAGACAAGACAGGGCTGACCAAGGCTGGGGACCTGTCCCCTCAGGACATGAAGAAGGTGCACCGCCTGGTGCTGATAGAGATGACCGCTCTGTTTGACACGGCAGGCATCGACCTCAAAGCCCACAAAGCAGTCAAACTCAAGGTCAAAGGTAAGCCAGTATGTTACAACTGTTAGCATGGAACACAACTGTATAACAGTATATCTAAGAGCCCTGATGACTGTCCTATTGACTATCCCATCAAGCTCTGATGAAATAATTGTTTCTTGTGTTTGTGTTCTAGAGTCTGGCCTGTTTGGAGTTCCCCTGGCCACCCTATTGGAGCAGGACCAGAGGAGACAGCCAGGGACCAAGGTGCCAATCATACTGCAGAGGGTGAGCAGCACAACCTCTCATTAACACAGTCAGTGGTTCACTGATCCTGGTTCACTTTAATCACACAGTACGTCTGAATGTGTGCTCTGCAGTAGAAATCTCTGCAGGTTGCTGTAGGGGTGATGGTATTGTCATATGTGTTGTTGATTTGGTGGTTAAAGCTTATAAGAGTGTTCTATTGTTTCCAGCTCATCTCTCACATAGAGGAGGAGGGTCTGGACACAGAGGGGCTTCTACGGATACCCGGAGCAGCCACAAGAGTCAAGGTCATTGTTCATCATTGTTGATAGATGTAGTCCTGCTTTATTCAATGTCTGGGGAAGGATTTGCATGCTGTGACAACAGCTTAATGTACTGTAGCTGTAGGGAAATAAGAATTTGGCTAATGGAAATGTTAGTGTGGTGACAGACTGTCAAAATCAAATCAAACTTTATTTGTCACATGCGCCGAATACAACAGGTGTAGACCTTACCATGAAATGCTTACTTACAAGCCCTTAACCAACAATGCAGTTCAAGAAAGAGTTAAGAAAATATTTACCAAATAAACTAAAGTAAAAAATAATAAAAAGTAACACAATAAAATAACAATAACGAGGCTATATACAGGGGGTACCGGTACCGAGTCAATGTGCGGGGGTACAGGTTAGTCGAGGAAATGTGTACATGTAGGTAGGGGTAAAGTGACTATACATAGATAATAGCGGGTAGCAGCAGTGTAAAAAGAAATGGGGGGGGGGGGGTCGTCCTCAATGTAAATAGTCCAGGTGGCCATTTGATTAATTATTCAGCAGTCTTAAGCTGTTAAGGAGCCTTTTGGTCCTAGACTTTGCGCTCCGGTACCGCTTTCCGTGTGGTAGCAGAGAGAACAATCTGTTACTTGGGTGACTGGAGTCTTTGACAATTTTTTGGGTTTTCCTCTGACACTGCCTAGTATATAGGTCCTGGATGGCAGGAAGCTTGGCCCCAGTGATGTACTGGGCCGTACGCACTACCATCTGTAGCGCCTTATGGTCAGATGTCGAGCAGTTGCCATACCAGGCGGTGATGCAACCGGTCAGGATGCTCTCGATGGTGCAGCTGTAGAACTTTCTGTTCTGATTGTGTAGTCCACGATCAGCTCCTTTGTCTTGCTCACATTGAGGGAGAGGTTGTTGTCCTGGCACCACACTGCCAGGTCTCTCACCTCCTCCCTATAGGCTGTCTCATCATTGTCAGTGATCAGGCCTACCACTGTTGTGTCGTCAGCAAACTTAATGATGGTGTTGGAGTCGTGTTTGGTCACGCAGTTGTGGGTGAACAGGGAGTACAGGAGGGGACTAAGCAAGCACCCCTGAGGGGCCCCAGTGGTGAGGATAAGCGTGGCAGACGTGTTGTTGCCTACCCTTAGCACCTGGGGGCGGCCCGTCAGGAAGTCCAGGATCCAGTTGCAGAGAGAGGTGTTTAGTCCCAGGGTCCTTAGCTTAGTGATGAGCTTTGTGGGCACTATGGTGTTGAATGCTTAGCTGTCGTCAATGAACAGCATTCTCACATAGGTGCTCCTTTTGTCCAGGTGGGAAAGGGCAGTGTGGTGTGCGATTGAGATTGCGTCATCTGTGGATCTGTTGGGGTGATATGCGAATTGGAGTGGGTCTCGGGTATCTGTGATGATGCTGTTGATGTGAGCCATGACTAGCATTTCAAAGCACTTCATGGCTACCGACATGAGTGCTACGGGGTGGTAATAATTTAGGCAGGTTACCTTCGCTTCCTTGGGCACAGGGACTATGGTGGTCTGCTTGAAACATGTAGGTATTACAGACTCGGTCAGGGAGAGGTTGAAAATGTCAGTGAAGACACTTGCCAGTTGGTCCGCGCATGCTCATAAGGTACTCTACCTCAGGCGAGCAATACCTCGAGACTTCTTTAATATTAGATATCGCGCACCAGCTGTTACTGACTAATAGACACACACCCCCGCCCCTCATTTTACCAGACGTAGCTTCTCTGTCCTGCCAATGCATGGAAAAACTCATTCAGCCACGACTCAGTGAAACATCAAATATTATGTTAGGATATTCTTGATCGTAGATCATCCATTTTGTTTTGCAATGATTGCACGTTGGCCAATAGAACGGATGGTAGTGGAAGTTTACTCACTCGCCTATGAATTCTCAGAAGGCAGCCCGACCTCCGCCCCCTTTTTCTCTGTATTTTCTTCACGCAAATGACAGGGTTTTGGGCCCGTTCCCGAGAAAGCAGTATATCCTTCGTGTCAGACACGTTAAAGAAAAAATCTTTGTCCAGTGCGAGGTGAGTAATCGCTGTTCTGATGTACAGAAGTTTTTTTTCTGTCATAAGAGACGGTAGCAGCAACATTATGTACACAATAAGTAAAATAATAAGTTACAAACAACGCGAAAAAACTAACAAAATAGCACAGTTGGTTAGGAGCCTGTAAAACGGCAGCCATCCCCTCCGGCACCATTATGCAGGTGGAAGGTATCATGAGTGTTGTACTGTAGGATGATGAAGCCTCCAGTGTGTGTGTGTGTGTGTGTGTGTGAGTGTGTGTGTGTGTGGACGTGTTTAACTATACTTGACCAGAAGTCCCCAAAAGAATAGTAAACAAACAAACATTTGACCAACTGGGGACATTTTGTTGGTCCCCACAAGGTCAAATGCTATTTCTAGGGGCTTTACGGTTAAGGTTAGAATTAGTGTTAGGGTTAGAATTAGGGTTAGGGTTAGGAGCTAGGGTTAGTTTTAGGGTTAGGGGTTAGGGTTAGGTTTAGGGTTAAGGGTCAAAAATATGATTTTTAATGGGACTGAATTGTTTGTCCCCACAAGGTTAATTGTACAAGACTGTGTGTGTGTGAGAAGGAGAGTATGTGTGTGTATGTGTGTGTTAACATGTGACCTATGTGTCTGGCTGGCAGGCAGTGTGTGTGGAGCTGGAGGGGAAGTTCTACGAGGGTCTGTTCCCATGGGAGAGTCTGAAGCAGCACGATGCAGCCAGCCTGCTCAAGCTCTTCATCAGGGAGCTGCCTCACCCACTGCTCACTGTGGAGTACCTCAGCGCATTCATCGCAGTGCTTAGTCAGTCCCCCTATACATTATGAACCACACTTTTTCTCACTATGGTGCACTGTATGTATACTCATTTAGAATTGTGTCTCGATTCTGTTTGAGTTTTGTCTTATGTTGACTTATGGATTAGTAAACCAATCCGTTGTGATTTGTTTGCTTGCCTTACTCACAGAACTGCCCACTAAGAAGCAGCAGCTGCAGGCTCTCAACTTGCTGGTCCTGCTGCTTCCAGAGTCCAGCCGTGATACACTAAAGGTAGATATATCTACTTTCTTTGTGCTAGTTCTCTAGCCAATACAGTACAGTCTCATGTTGTCTGTTGGACACATTGTAATGTATCTTATGGTGGTTTCAGGCGCTGATGGAGTTCTTTCAGAGGGTCATAGACCACAAAGAGCAGAACAAGATGACCTTGAACAACGTTGCCGTGGTGATGGCTCCAAACATCTTCATGTTTAAAGGCTTCCGCAACAAGATCAGTGAGCAACAGGAATTTTCCCTGGCCACAGAGACCGCCAACATCGTCCGACTACTCATCAGATACCAAAACCTGCTCTGGACGGTAGGCTCAAGTCATGGGGCCTCATTTATCAATATTGTGTAGAAATTATTCTAAAATACTACTTACGAACAGAGTTTTGAATGTTCGTACCTATAGAAAAAGTATGATTTAACAAACAACCCTACAAACATCATATACACACACTGGTAGGAGATAACCATTGATAAATACCAATTGTTCTCAGCCTCAGTGCTCATGCATAACCTTTGCTATTTGCATTTTTAAACACCCATAATTAACCACATATGGTCAAAATCATAAAGCCTGTGGGGATTATACAGCGCCGTACCATGAAATACAATGTCACAACCAAAAAAGCTAAGAAAAAATATATTTTCAGAGAACAAATAGAGGTGCGAGTGTCAGAGATAAAGTACAACCAAAAGTTGTTATTTGTACCAGTCAAAAGTTTGGACACACCTACTCATTCAAGGGTTTTTCTTTATTTTTTTTACTATTCTCTACATTGTAGAATAATAGTGAAGACATAAATACTATTAAATAACACATATGGAATCATGTAGTAACCAAAAACGTGTTGAACAAATCAAAATATATTTTATATTTGAGATCCTTCAAATAGTCACCCTCTGCCTTGATGACAGCTTTGCACACTCTTGGCATTCTCTCAACCAGCTTCACCTGGAATGCTTTTCCAAGAGTCTTGAAGGAGTTCCCACATATGCTGAGCACTTGTTGGCTGCTTTTCCTTCACTCTGCCGTCTGACTCATCCCAAACCATCTCAATTGGGTTGAGGTCGGGGGATTGAGGAGGACAGGTCATCTGATGCAGCACTCCATCACTCTCCTTCTTGGTAAAATAGCCCTTACACAGCCTGGAGGTGTGTTGGGTCATTGTCCTGTTGAAAAACAAATGATAGTCCCAATAAGCCCAAACCAGATGGGGTAGTCATGCTGGTTAAGTGTGCCTTGAATTCTAAATAATTCACAGACAGTGTCACCAGCAAAGCACCCCCACACCATAACACCTCCTCCTCCGTGCTTTACGGTGGGAACTACACACTACACATGCGGAGATCATCCGTTCACCCACACCGCGTCTCACAAAGACACGGCGGTTGGAACCCAAAATCTCCAAATTTCCACTGGTCTAATGTCCATTGCTCATGTTTCTTGGCCCAAACAGGTTTCTTCTTCTTATTGGTGTCCTTTGGTAGTGGTTTCTTTGCAGCAATTCGACCATGAAGGCCTGATTTCACACACTCCACTCTGAACAGTTGATGTTGAGATGTGTCTGTGTCTTGAACTCTTTGAAGCATTTATTTGGGCTGCAATTTCTGAGGCTGGTAACTCTAATTAACTTATCCTCTGCAGCAGAGGTAACTCTGGGTCTACCATTCCTGTGGCAGTCCGCATGAGAGCCAGTTTCATCATAGTGCTTGATAGTTTTTGCGACTGCACTTGAAGAAACTTTCAAAGTTCTGTAAAAATAAAGAAAAACCCTTGAATGAGTAGGTGTGTCCAAACTTTTGACCGGTAGTGTACTTCCAATGAGTACGCAACACTCACCAATAAGCCATTCATCCTCAACAATTCCTTCCTGAAGGCGTATAGGCCAACATTACTGTTCTGCAAAATGAACGAGTCGTGCGTGCCACCTGGCCACCACATTCAGCAGCGTCTTTTGCGCATCACATAACCTATCCCCTGCACATTAAAAGTGGAAGCCTTTTCTGTTCCCGTAGTTGAACTCGTTTTGGGATGGTGCTTTTATGGTGACGTGGGTTCCGTCTATTGCTCTGTTCGTATTTGGGAACCCATTGATGGCAAAGAAACCCCTCTTGACTTCAACCTGTTGTGCGATGATTTATGGAAATTGTATGTTACAGTTCGTTTTGCGTATGATTGCAACCAAAACATTGGCTCATCGAGGGATGCGAGAATCCGATCGGCAAGCTCCCGCTGAAAAGTGCCCGTTGCCAAAAACCCGAGGGTGGATAGCACTTGGATGTCAGTGGAGGCTGCTGAGGGGAGGACGGCTCATACTAATGGCTGGAATGGAGTATAATGGATGTAATGAAGTGAATGGAATCAAACACATGAAAACCATGTTTTTGATTCCATTCCATTTACTCCATTCCAGCCATTATTAGGAGTCGTTCTCCCCTCTGCAGCCTCCACTGTTGGATGTGCATCGGAATGGCATGTGTCTTAAATCCTCGCAAAAATCCTATAAGATTTGTTTGGGAAACGATATCTGATGAGCCAATCTGTACTTTCTGGAGAAAAAAAGAGTCCCACCTGTCTGTAAAAACGTGCACTCTGCGAAATGCAGTGTTTGCCAAATCCTCCAACAGAGCAAGATAAGCCTATCATTCGATTTCCCATAGTCTTTTATAGTATTTCAACAATATTTCACTTTTTGCCTATAATTTAACAAATGACTGTACTTTATATGGACTATTATCGTAACAAATGCACTGATGTGGTGAAATGATATGCCTGTCAAGATATGTTGCATGAATTCACAATGGAAATACAATGACATCGAAAATGATTTATTTATTACTCTCATAATTTCAGACATTTTCAACATGTATTTTCCCCATTCTATGCTTGACAAATAGTTTCCTTATTCTACCACTTGGCACTATGCGTACGCATGGTCAAGCAAATGTTATATATATTGATACATCTCACACTTTGCGTGGAAATGATCCCACGCATGGTTTACGCACAGTTTTGTACTTTATGTATAGGCCTACTGTACGTAATTGGTATGGCTCTTCAATGTCAAAATGTGTAATTTTATCATACATTTTTCACTTCAGATTCCTAAATTCATAATGAATCAAGTCAGAAAACAAAACACGGAGAACCAGAAGAAAATGAGTAAAGACCGCGCCATGATGAAACTCCTAAAGAAGATGGCCTATGAGCGAGAGAAACCAGAGAAACAGGAGAAACCCCTCTCCGAGGTGAGGGCAGCAGTAGCAGACAAAGGCGTCTGTCTGTCTGTAGCACCTGTATATGGACATCCAATTGGCTCTGCGACCGTACTGTAAAGCAGTTATAGCTGAGGGGAACACCCATGCTGTTGAATGAATCAAGAGGAGAATATGTGAATGACTCAAATGCCTTCTGCGCTTCCTGGTTCAACTGATGAAAGAGGAAGTGGCTCCCCTGTGACACCTAGTGGATATATGTAGAACTGCAACTCAGTTTTGTTATTGTTTGAAAAATGACTTAATAATGAAGAAATTTCATTATATAAGGCAATTTTCAATAAATGCTTGATATTTTGTATAAAAGTATAGCTGATGTACAGTTTGTATTAGTGTAGTATTGAGTACAGTAGCGACACTATAGTATTATGATGGTTAGCTGAGACATGTCTGTGTTGTCTTTCCCCATGCAGGTGGACAGTAGTTCTCAGGGCTTCATCAGGGTCCAGGCCCCTCAGTTCTCTAAGGTCTCCATGGCTGTCCAGCTGACTGAAGAGTTGCAGGCATCTGATGTCCTCAGCCGCTTCCTCAGCCAGGACAGGTGAGAACAACACCCCTCCCTCCCCCCTGTCCTCCCAGGGGCACTATTGTCATCCTGTCACACACCAAAGGCTTGCAGCCACATAATGATAACTCTCAGCCCACTCCCTCACACAGGGCATTCTGAGTGCAGTTAAGTTACACTACAGAGACATTTACACCCTGTTTGTGTTGTAACTGAGCAGCCTATGGGAACTGTTATTTCTGCTCCTGCTCAGCTGAGTGACACTGCACGGCATGGCTCTGATTTCTCTGTATCTGTATGCTGCCCTACAAAGGCAAAACGATGCTGATTCATGATTTTGACAGTGGGCTCCAAAGGTATTGGGACAGTGACACATTTGTTGTTGTTTTGGCTCTGTACTCCAGCACTTTGGATTTTAAATGATACGATGACTACGAGGTTAAAGTGCAGACTGTGAGCTTTAATTTGAGGGTATCTTTATCCATATCTGGTTAACCGTTTAGAAATTACTGCACTTTTTGACATAGTCCCCCCCATTTTAGGGGACCAAAAGTATTGGGACAAATTCACGTGTATTAAAGTAGTAAAAAGTTAAGTATTTGGTAGCACGCAATGACTATATCAAGCTTCTGACTACACATTTGTTGGATGCATTTGCTGTTTGTTTTGGTTGGGTTTCAGATTATTTTGTGCCCAATAGAAGTGAATGGTAAATAATGTATTGTGTCATTTTGGAGTCACTTTTATTGTAAATAAGAATAGAATATGTTTCTCAACACTTCTACATGTATGTGGATGCTACCATGATTACGGATAATCCTGAATGAATCGTGAGAAAGTTACAGATGCACAAATATCATACCCCCAAGACATGCTAACCTCTCATCATTACAGTAGCTGGGGAAGTTTGCGTTTTTTTTTTTTTGGGGGGGGGGGGGGGGGGGGGGGGGGGGTGGGGTTGTTATGACATTTGTCCCAATACTTTTGGTCCCCTAAAATGTATTTCTAAACGGTTCATGCGAAATGGATGAAAATACCCTCAAATTAAAACTGACAGTCTACCCTTTAACCTCATAGTCATTGTATCATTTCAAATCCAAAGTGTTGGAGTACAGAGCCAAAACAACAACAAATGGGTCACTGTCCCAGTACTTTTGGAGCCCACTGTATGACCCCTAAAATGCAGATACTGCACTCTGCCTTTGTATGACCTTAAACAACTATATGGGTAATGCAAAGGCAAAGTGCAGTATCTACAATCTAAATATGTTTATCCAACTTTCTTGTTGTTTTTCCTGTTTGACTTTGTATGGTCATTTATTTGACTTGGGTCATAGGTCAAGTCAGTGGTCATGATTGATATGTAGAAAAAATTACTTAATAATAAGATAATACATCAGTGCATTATCACTTATCTACCTACAACATATTTGGCTGGACAGCAAATAAACTTTAAAGCCATTTTTCTCAGTTTCCCTGTTTGCGTACTTACTGCTGTTTGCAGTCAAAACATGGTGGAACAAAGACAAAGTGCAGTAACTGCTGTTTGCCTTGGTTTCTACTTGGATTTTGTAGTTACTGAAAATGTCATACTCCATTTTCTCTGAAACTGAACATAATTGAACCAGAACACTTAGTCACAAGATACAACAGATACTACAAAGCCTGATTTCAATCTTAACTGGATTTTGACCAAAAGTGCGTTTTGCCTTTATAGGGAAGTATAAAACTCAACTGTTTTGGAATGTTACTCTATTTGTAACATGGGTTTTTGTTTACCCCTCAGTATGTTTTCTGTGTGTGTGTGTTCTAGCTCTGTGTCTGTGAAGAGAGAAGATCTGTGCCTTTATGAAATAGGAGGGAATATCCGTAAGTATTGCACAGTGGCGTACAAAGTCATTTAACACACAAACCATCTCATACAGTTGAAGTCGGAAGTTTACATACACCTTAGCCAAATACATTTTAACTCAGTTTTTCACAATTCCTGACATTTAATCCTAGTAAAAATGCCTTGTCTTAGGTCAGTTAGGATCACCACTTTATTTTAAGAATGTGAAATGTCAGAATAATAGTAGAGAGAATGATTTATTTCAGCTTTTATTTCTTTCATCACATTCCCAGTGGGTCAGAAGTTTACATACACTCAATTAGTATTTTGTAGCATTGCCTTTAAATTGTTTAACTTGGGTCAAACGTTTCAGGTAGCCTTCCACAAGCTTCCCACAATACGTTGGGTGAATTTTGGCCCATTCCTTCTGACAGAGCTGGTGTAACTGAGTCAGGTTTGTAGGCCTCCTTGCTCGCACACGCTTTTTCAGTTCTGCCCACAAATGTTCTATAGGATTGAGGTCAGGGCCTTGTGATGGCCACTCCAATACCTTGACTTTGTTGGCCTTAAGCCATTTTGCCACAACTTTGGAAGTATGCTTGGGTCATTGTCCATTTGGAAGACCCATTTGCGACCAAGCTTTAACTTCCTGACTGATGTCTTGAGATGTTGCTTCCACATAATTTTCCTTCCTCATGATGCCATCTATTCTGTGAAGTGCACCAGTCCCTCCTGCAGCAAAGCATCCCCACTACATGATGCTGCCACCCCCTTGCTTCACGGTTGGGATGGTGTTCTTCGGCTTGTAAGCATCCCCCTTTTTCCTCCAAACATAACGATGGTCATTATGGCCAAAAAGTTATATTTTTGTTTAATCAGACCAGAGGACATTTCTCCAAAAAGTACGATCTTTGTCCCCATGTGCAGTTGCAAACCGTAGTCTGGCTTTTTTATGGCGGTTTTGGAGCAGTGGCTTCTTCCTTGCTGAGTGGCCTTTCAGGTTATGTCGATATAGGACTCGTTTTACTGTGGATTTAGATATTTTTGTTACCTGTTTCCTCCAGCATCTTCACAAGGTCCTTTGCTGTTGTTCTGGGATTGATTTGCACTTTTTGCACCAAAGTACGTTCATCTCTAGGAGACAGAAAGCGTCTCCTTCCTGAGCGGTATGATGGCTGCGTGGTCCCATGGTGTTTATACTTGCATACTATTGTTTGTACAGATGTACGTGGTACCTTCAGGCATTTGGAAATTGCTCCCAAGGATGAACCAGACTTGTGGAGGTCTACAATGTTTTTTCTGAGGTCTTGGCTGATTTCTTTTGATTTTCCCATGATGTCAAGCAAAGAGGCACTGAGTTTGAAGGTAGGCCTTGAAAGACATCCACAGGTACACCTCCAATTGACTCAAATGATGTCAATTAGCCTATCAGAAAGCCATGACATAATTTTCTGGAATTTTCCAAGCTGTTTAAAGGCACAGTCAACTTAGTGTATGTAAACTTCTGACCCACTGGAATTGTAATACAGTGAATTATAAGTTAAATAATCTGTCTGTAAACAATTGTTGGAAAAATTACTTGTCATGCACAAAGTAGATGTCCTAACCGACTTGCCAAAACAATAGTTTGTTAACAAGAAATTTGTGGAGGGGTTGAAAAACAAGTTTTAATGACTCCGGCCAAAGTGTATGTAAACTTCCGACTTCAACTGTATATCCTAGGTGCCATTTATAGTTTCTCAAAAATAATGACTCTATTACATGGTATTATCTGAAAAAAAAATTAAAAGAACATAAAGCAAAATGTCAACATCCTACAGTAGACTGTGTATTCAGACCATATTCTGCTGTAAATTCAAAGTAGTACCATACAGTAAGTCATTTTAAAGATGTTTTAAGGACATGGTTCAAATCCCAGCAGAGCGTCACCTTCCCAATAGATGTAGGATCTTAATTTGAGCCAGTTTGCTACAGCAGGAAAAATATCCTGCAGCAACAGGAAATGTGAATTATTATGTGTATTATAATTAGTGGACATTTTTGTAGGGGATGATACAGGGAAAATCAAATCAGAAATGTCAAAGTAGAAATTACAAACGTCAGAAGCCTTTTTTAAACCTCAAATACACTACAAGTTTTGAATTTCCTGCAATGCAGGAAAGTTCTCGTGCAACAGGGTGATCAAATTAAGATCCTACATCTGTATGTCAGACAGTATCCGATTAGTTCTTTGCTGTGTGTTGTTCCTGAACAGAGGAGCGCTGCCTGGATGAGGAGACCTATATGAAAGACCTGTTGGAGCTCAACCCCAGTGCAGAGTGGTTCATCAAGTGCATCCAGAGATAGGATATCTGAATGCTCACACCCTGCCAGCAATGTCTTAAAGGAGAACGGACGGGGGTACCGCAAGAGAAAAGGGAAACTTCAGCTAATGTATATCCACTTCACCATGACATGCTAATGACCACTGGACCCAAGACAGGTATTACAGTGTTAATGTTGTTGTCCTTTGTAGGGCTGTAGTTTAGAGTAGAGTTTATGCAGATGAGGGCTCTTCCTCTGAAATGGATGCCCTGTGATGTGTTAGGTCCACATGTGTATAGGGTACTAACTGATTGACATGTATGCTACTGGAAGTCCAACTGTCAACGCATGAGGAGTTGGACAATTGTGACTGAGGAGAGCCACTGAACAATAATCTGTGATAGGTCTGTGTGTTGATGATAAGGGCAATTTACTATACCATCAAGGTACTGGATTAGTTGATCGTAATGATCAATACAGTAAATGGCCAAAAACCAAAGAAACAGTAGTATTATAATGGGTTGCTATAAAAATGACAAGTTTGTCAGACAACATTGTTTTTACATTCAATGATAGACATGCAAGATCTAATTGAACCACTAATATGATTTGCTGTACTCTGTAGCTCATTCTCCATTGTAAGATCATCAACATGTAATATGCGTGCCTCCCCTAACTAAATTTGTGTTTTACTGTAGTTCTTTGTAATGGTTATATTCATTGACTCATTCCATTTTACCCAAATACTGTCCAGCGATGTCTGTAATCAGCAATGTCAGTGCTTAATGCAGATAAATAGACGGTTACTAATTTTGTGATATTGAATGATATATCAAAACAATTCTTCCCTGTTACTTCTTTAAATTCACTGCCAAATCATAATGTAGGGTGAGCTGAAGTGGTTTACAGATATAACACTCCTTAGTTCTCAAAGAGGGTATTCTAGCCCCAGTTTGCTATTAGGCACTTATCTGTGGGGTCCCTCTGAGCAATACCTCTCCACTGTGACTTCTGTCCGTTTCATGTTGACCATGTAGACAGAATATGACCAGTGAAAGAGACAGCCAATCAAAGAGATAACGTTAAATACATTATTTAAATGTGTTTGGTAGTGTCAGTTCTCAAGCTGTGGTCCTAAACTAGCATTTCAGGTCACTTCCTAATAACATTAACGTGTGGTTCTCAAAATATACTTTCAATGGAGGGAACAGTTTAAAATAATTTAATGTGTATGTCCAAACATTTCAATTTAGAAAGCAAAAATGATATAACTACAGATATGACTGTGCTGTATGAACTGTGCTAAACAATGTGATTTTTATACCCTCTCCCTGCCCTTATGTTGTGCTTTATATTGTAAATATGACTGTTGAAAGATGTCCCTTTTGTTGTTGTATACTGTATGTTCTACGGCTTCTAAAATGACCACTAAACATTTTGTAAATAAATGTGTAATTGCGCCTTTTTGGTGTGTGTGCGCTTATTTGGTATAGTGCAACAGACATAATAAATTAAAAATGACAATAAAAGAAAGCAAAATAAAAAGTTTTCCTGAAGGAAGATACTGTGTTTTGTTTTGCTTGTGACTACATGAGTAGTACATGTTTCCTTTGATGGGCCTGTATGGTGGCCTGGATGGCTTGGCTGTAGTGGTGGAAGGGAACTTGGACACACTGAGGTGGCTGGAGCTGGCCAGACTTCATTAGGCCACACACAGAGGTCACCATGGTCTGTAGCTGCATCACATCTGCTGGGGACAGAGAGACACAACACCACCCATATGGAAAAGATATAGAAGATTTAACAAGATTATTCTGTTCTACCTGGAACGTGTAAGTAATACATATGGCAGCAAATACACTGAGAAGATTCTTGTAATATCTGACATACATGTAGTTAACATTTAGACATAACAGAAATGTTAATTGTATAAAAAACACAAGAGACAAGCTAAGCCTTCTAATGTCTCACATATATATAGGACATACACATTTCAAAGCTCTTGAATACCGCTGTCTGACGTAACACTTATTGAAGAAAGAAAGTCCGCCACGAGGAGGAGGAGCAGTAGGAGGAAGGTGGAAAGCAGAAGGAGGGGGAAGGGGCTAAAGAGGGCAGGAGAGGGAGAGGAGGATAAAGAGGAGGAAAGGAGGATGAGGGGGAGGAGAGAAGTGGAAGAAAGAGGGGGAGGAGAGGATGAGGGGGAGGAGGAGGTGGAAACGCCTTTATGCGCAAATGTTGAGATAATAACCATCAAATCGAATTAAACTTGGAGTCACGCGATGATATGTTGTGTGGTCCCCACTACGACTCGGGAAAGCATGCATTTTGTTAGGCTACAGATTAAATAAGTGATGAGTTTAATACTCCTTTCCAATAAATATCGAGGGTCTTATTCTGGTGACATGATGATCGTTGCTTGGCTGCCGTTTTCCCCCACAATAATCTCTAGGCTACCCGCTCTGTATCTGCGGTCTGTTGGCTAGAGCGCATGTACCAAGACCAGAGCGGGCACATTTGCTGTATAACGTAACAGTTTTTGTGACAAAACCATCAGTCGAGTTGAAAATGCGATGAGAAACCCATTTAAATTGTATTTTTCATTCGATACATGGGAATTTGGGAATTTAACAGAAAAAGTTTTTTTTATGTGCACTATGTCATCACGCATAACCTTTTATCCACAAACAATCTGACGGAAACATCTCTGGTGGGAAGATGCGCATATTGTTTTATGCAGATTTTAGAATATTCGCATGAAAATCTGTTGCAAATTTGATGGAAACCTAGCTAGTGACAAATATCAAAGCTAGGCTGGGCATAGTTAAAACCCTGGATGGGAGACCAAAGGCATAGTTGTATATAAATCAACTGTCCAGTAGGTGGTGCTGCCCAGCCTTAAACATGGAAACTCATACCTGAAAATGAATAGTAATTCTCATGGTTTTTTAAATGTTGACTTATAAAAACAATGTGAAACCTATAAGGAAAGCATTTCTTTTGTCGAGGTTACATTGTCAGAACATACACACTTTTTTATAATATTCATAGATGACTCATATAATTCATATATTTTGCCTCAAATATGTCACAATTTTTATTTTACTAGGCAAGTCAGTTAAGAACTCATTCTTATTTACAATGACGGCCTACACCGGCCAAACTTGGGCCAATTGTGCGCTGCCCTATGGGACTCCCAATCACGGCCGGTTGTGATACAGCCTGGAATCGAACCAGTGGGTCTGTAGTGACGCCTCAAGCATTGAGATGCAGTGCCTTAGCCGCTGCGCCACTCGGGAGCCCAATTGAATACAATCATGTATTCAATTGTGTATGTCATATAAGGTATATACTGTAAGTCAACACATATACAAATACACCATTGACATATAAGGAAAAACATAAAAAATCTTACCAGATACTATGTAATTATATTAAGTATTTGATTTTTGTACCAATAATATTCTTCTGCCATACAATATTCTTATTTGTTTTTCATGATTCTTTTCCATATGGCCACATGGTTCAGTCAAATGGTAAAGGTTCTTGGTCAGATTTTGAAAGTTGAATAAAGTGTGCACTAGAGGGTTGAAGTGAGTGAGCTTTGTGCAGCAAGTTTACCTTGACTGTTGTTTCTTTTCCACTGCGTCATCCAGAATCCTTGTAATGTGATGTTCTTAAAAATGAGTGATTTCTTTTCGAGAGCCAAAAAAAACAGAAATGTCAAAGATGTACTGTAAGCAAGGTTACATATAGTGCAATTTACAGTGCAATTTGAGAATCATTTGAGATTATGTTGAACAACAAATATGAACTCACAGCTGGAATCTGAAGAGGCTTTTTGGCCATCCCACCATATGTCACTAATGTTGCCCCATCACTGTGAGGGCATTCAAAAAGAGGGATTAGCTTTCATAGAGAATCAGTCCTTTCAAAGCCAAAACTAACATGATGGATTACATTATTCATGCAGACCATGTTGCAGTAAAGATTTTGGCCAGAAACCCTTAATCATGACAAAACCTACCAAAGACTAGAGAGGACAAGTCCACCACTCCGGCCTCCCACACAGTTTAAACCCAGGATGGGCTTTGGGAGCTCCTGAAATGGCAATACATTAGTATAGTCTACAATTGATTCTTGGAAAGAAGCCAACACCTCTAATCTCATCATACATTTTATGGTATAACTATTCTCTCACCTGAATTAGGTTATCCAGACCCAGACATTGCAGCTCTTCTTCAGTAATAACAAAATCAGCTCCCATCAATTTTAGTTCCTCCTCCAACTCTTGCCGATTGGGTCTGAGAGAAAAAAGCTCTAAAATCAGCTCCTTGAATATGGATACTATTGTTATGTTCTGGGTCGATACTGATGTAGCTAGACAGAGTCCCCACCTGTCTCTGATGATGTTGATGGTCTTCACCCCCAAGGCAGCAGCTATTTGAATGACAGCCTGACCCACTGCACTGTTGGATCCATTCTGTATCACAGTGGCCCCTGCAGACAATGAATAAATGAATGAATGAAGCAATTATTAATTAATGAATGAATACTTGTTTACTGCTTATAAAGCACCATTTCATAAAAAGTGTCACACTTGAGTGACAGTAGCTTGTACAGGCAACAAGAATAGACCAAAAGGACAGAGTGTCCCACAGAAATAATGTTTATCGAACTACTATTGTCTACCTGGTTTGAGTGTAACAAAGTCCTGCAGCATCCTGTAGGCAGTGCAGGGGTTCACCCCGATGGTAGCAGCCCCCAGCAGAGGGATGTCCTTGGGGACCTGGAGAAGGTCATCAGCCTCACACACTGCCTCTGTCCTCCATGTACCTTTAAACAGAACCCCACCCAAACGCTGTCTCACAATGATGATGTCATGTCACACAACACAAATACAACAAGTAGTTTGAGACTTTGAGATGTAAATATTAATGTCTGATAATACGTTCCAAATTCAAACGATTTTCACTCTGTCTCAATCATTTCTTATCACTAAATCTTTGTCAGGGTAAAAACCAAAGGTACCCACACTGCCCTACCACTACTGTGGTGTTACAGACAGAAGAGGAATGTACTTTAGTACTGATGTTTTCTCACCAAAGCCAGCATCCCAGGGTATGACCCAGTCTCCTGGTCTCAGAGAGGTGACCTTCCAACCAACCTCCACCACCTCACCCACTCCCTCATTCCCACCCACAGCAGGAAACACGGGAAGGATTGGGTATGTGCCTGTGGATTACAATGCAAGGAACTGTTTTATACCCTGTGTAGGCTCAAAAACCCGACCCCTAGGCAACAGCAGTGTTAATCCGGAACATTTAATAATTGTGGGAGGCAAACGGAATGTCTAGAGATAATCTATGGTAACACGAGGTAACCGGAGCCAGGCTCCAGCACCTTATGGATGATAAGTAGGATAACCCAAGGTTATGCCAAAATTAGGGTTAGGGTTGTGGTTAAGGCTGGGGTTGGGTTGAACTGGGAAGTGGACATGAAGCTAGGGTTAGGGTTGTGATTGAGACTGGGGTTGGGTTGAACCGGGATGTGGACATGAAGCTAGGGTTAGGGTTGTGGTTGAGGCTGGGGTTGGGTTGAACCGGGATGTGGACATGAAGCTAGGGTTAGGGTTGTGGTTAAGGCTGGGGTTAGGGTTGAACCGGGATGTGGACATGAAGCTAGGGTTAGGGTTGTGATTGAGGCTGGGGTTGGGTTGAACTGGGATGTGGACATGAAGCTAGGGTTAGGGTTGTGGTTCAGGCTGGGGTTGGGTTGAACTGGGATGTGGACATGAAGCTAGGGTTAGGGTTGTGGTTAAGGCTGGGGTTGGGTTGAACCGGGATGTGGACATGAAGCTAGGGTTAGGGTTGTGGTTGAGGCTGGGGTTGGGTTGAACTGAGATGTGGACATGAAGCTAGGGTTAGGGTTGTGGTTGAGGCTAGGGTTGGGTTGAACCAGGATGTGGACATGAAGCTAGGGTTAGGGTTGTGGTTCAGGCTGGGGTGTGGACATGAAGCTAGGGTTAGGGTTGTGGTTGAGGCTAGGGTTAGGGTTGAACTGAGATGTGGACATGAAGCTAGGGTTAGGGTTGTGGTTGAGGCTGGGGTTAGGGTTGAACTGGGACGTGGACATGAAGCTAGGGTTAGGGTTGTGGTTGAGGCTGGGGTTCGGGTTGAACTGGGACGTGGACATGAAGCTAGGGTTAGGGTTGTGATTGAGACTGGGGTTAGGGTTGAACTGAGATGTGGACATAAGCCTAATGTAACCCTAGCCCTGTTCAATCACCCCTCTACATGCTTTTTTCTTAGTTATTATAAAGTGTTACCATATCTCTTAAAGATACAATCTCGATTGGGTTAAAACTGATTATCTATCATGTATTATTGATTCATCCAGTATGAATGTTACCTTGTAGCATGTTAATATCAGCTGGATTCACTGGTGCTGCCAACATCCTCAGTCTGACACTGTGTTGACCCATGGCTGGCAAGGCCATCTCTTCCATTCTATTATATGGACAATAACACAATCATGTAACTTAGAAATTGCCATCCACATTGCTGTTTATGTGTTTCTTTATTCATATTGAGGAAACAAGTTTACAGCTACAGTTAGATAGCAATGATTAAGAGTTAAAACTGGGGAAACAGCACAAACCAGTGGCCATAATGTCTTTGACGATCTGTTTATAGTTTTTTTCATTAGCTTTGGGGCTATTTTCACAAGTATGTGGTGAATTTTCAAAACTCTTAGTACAAAACTCCAAACTGGTAACAATTGTAACGCAGCAAGTCTTATATGCAAAACCTTTTATTGTGCATTAATTTCTTTCACCACACAACCATTGATCCCATATACTGGGAAAAATTGATTTAATCACCAAAACACAACATAATGGTATCTTCTCAATTTAGTTGTTTTAACGACCAGTTAATCCAAAGGCAAAAAATGCAAGATACATGTTTCAAAATTTCCCTTTGAATGTAATTTCCTATAGCATTGTAAGTTACAGTACATTGATCTGTTTCCACATTAGGAAATGCACTTGCATTACCCCTTAAAATATCCATCCTTTCTAGTGCATGTGTAATCAAAGGTGTGATCATTGAAGACATCTTTCACAATCATTGATGAAAAAAATATATACACTACCGGTCAAAAGTTTTAGGACACCTACATTCAAGGGTTTTTCTTTATTTGTTATTATTTTCTAAATTGTAGAATAATAGTGAAGACATCAAAACTATGAAATAACACATATGGAATCATGTAGTAACCATAATACTTTTGAGATTCTTCAAATAGCCACCCTTTGCCTTGATGACTATTGGCATTCTCCCAACCAGCTTCACCTGGAATGCTTTTCTAACAGTCTTGAAGGAGTTTCCACATATGCTGAGCACTTGTTGGCTGCTTTTCCTTCACTCTGCGGTCCGACTCATCCCAAACCATCTCAATTTGGTTGAGATCGGGGGATTGTGGAGGCCAGGTCATCTGATGCAGCACTCCATCACTCTCCTTCTTGGTCAAATAGCCCTTGCACAGCCTGGAGGTGTATTGGGTCATTGTCCTGTTGAAAAACAAATGATAGTCCCACTAAGCCCAAACCAGATGGGATGCAAATGATAGTCCCACTAAGCCCAAACCAGATGGGATGGTGTATCACTGCAGAATGCTGTGGTAGCCATGCTGGTTAAGTGTGCCTTGAATTCTAAATAAATCACAGACAGTGTCACCAGCAAAGCACCCCCACACCATAACACCTCCTCCTCCATGCTTTACGGTGGGAAATACACATGCGGAGATCATCTGTTCACCCACACTGCGTCTCACAAAGACACGGCGGTTCGAACCAAAAATCTCACATTTGGACTCCAGACCAAAGGACACATTTCCACTGGTCTAATGTCAATTGCTCGTGTTTCTTGGCTCAAGCAAGTCTCTTCTTATTATTGGTGTCCTTTAGTGTGGTTTCTTTGCAGCAATTCGACCATAAAGGCCTGATTCATACAGTCTCCTCTGAACAGTTGATGTTGAGATGTGTCTGTTACTTGAACTCTGTGAAGCATTTATTTGGGCTGCAATTTCTGAGGCTGGTAACTCTAATGAACTTATCCTCTGCAGCAGAGGTAACTCTTGGTCTTCCATTCCTGTTTCGGTCCTCATGAGAGCCAGTTTCATCATAGCGCTTGATGGTTTTTGCGACTACACTTGAAGAAACTTTCAAAGTTCTTGAAATGTACCGTATTGACTGACCTTCATGTCTTAAAGTAATGATGGACTGTCATTTCTCTTTGCTTATTTGAGCTGTTCCTGCCATAATATTGACTTGGTCTTTTACCAAATAGGGCTATCTTCTGTATACCCCCCCTACCTTGTCACAACACAACTGATTGGCTCAAACACATTAAGAAGGAAAGAAATTCCACAAAGCTGGTTGAGAGAATGCAAAAGAGTGTGCAAAGCTGTCATCAAGGCAAAGGGTGGCTATTTGAAGAATCTCAAATATAAAATATATTTTGATTTGTTTAACACTTTTTTGGTTACTACATGATTCCATATGTGTTATTTCATAGTTTTGATGTCTTCACTATTATTCTACAATGTAGAAAATAGTAAAAGTAAAGAAAAACCTTTGAATGAGTAGGTGTTCTAAAACTTTTGACCGGTAGTGTATACTGTTCTGATATAATTACAAAATAGGTGTACTTTAATCAAGTGAAATAAATGAAATGAATAAAATAAACATAATGTTTAGCAGGCACTAGTTTTCATCATGCCTGCCTTGAGAATTTGGCCATAGGCTCTCATCGACATCGCAGTAAATGTTCTCATTGTTCATGCACTTGGGGAAAAAAACTTTTGGAATGGCGAACTCGACTTGAGTTCTTGTGCCCCCTCGGGCTCATGTGGTGGGGGAGATCTTCTCTGCCTTGTCTCAGGGTAATACGTTTGTGGTCTGTTGATATCCCTCTGGTGGTGTGGGGGTTGTGCTTTGGCAAAGTGAGTGGTGTTATATCCTGCCTGGTTGGCCCTGTCCGAGGGTATCTTTGGACGGGGCAACAGTGTCCCCCGATCCCCCATGTCTCAGTCTCTAGTATCTATGCTGCAATAGTCTATGTGCCGGGGGGCTACTGTCAGTCTGTCCTATCTGGTGTTTTTCTCCTGTCTTATCTGGTGTCCTGTGTGATCTTAAGTACTAGCCCTCTAATTTCCCCCATCTCTCTCTCGCTCTCTCTCTCCCCTCACAGAGGACCTGAGCCCTAGGACCATGCCTCAGCACTACCTGGCCTGACAACTCCTGGCTGTCCCCGTCCCCAGTCCACCTTGTCGTGCTGCTGATCCAGTTTCTGCTGTTCTGCCTGCGGTTATGGAACCCTGTCCTGTTCACCAGATGTGCTACCCTATACCCAGTATGTAAACATTATTAAAGTGACCAGTGTTAAATGACTATGTACAGTTGAAGTCGGAAGTTTACATACACCTTAGCCAAATACATTTAAACTCAGTTTTTCACAATTCCTGACATTTAATCCAAGTAAAAATGTCCTGTCTTAGGTCAGTTAAGATCACCACTTTATTTTTAAAAATGTGAAATGTCAGAATAATAGTAGAGATAATTATTTCTTTCAGCTTTTATTTCTTTCATCACATTCCCAGTGGGTCAGAAGTTGTTTAACTTGGGTCAAACGTTTCAGGTAGCCTTCCACAAGCTTCCCACAATAAGTTGGGTGAATTTTGGCCCATTCCTCTTGACAGAGCTGGTGTAACTGAGTCAGGTTTGTAGACCTCCTTGCTTGCACACACTTTTTCAGTTCTGCCAACACATTTTCTATATGATTGAGGTCAGGGCTTTGTGATGGCCACTCCAATACCTTGACTTTGTTGTCCTTAAGCCATTTTGCCACAACTTTGGAAGTATGCTTGGGGTCATTGTCCATTTGGAAGACCCATTTGTGACCAAGCTTTAACTTCCTGACTGATGTCTTGAGATGTTGCTTCAATATATCCACATAATTTTCCTTCCTCATGATGCCATCTATTTTGTGAAGTGCACCAGTTCCTCCTGCAGCAAAGCACCCCCACAGCATGATGCTGCCACCCCCTTGCTTCACTTTTTCCTCCAAACATAACGATGGTCATTATGGCCAAACAGTTCTATTTTTGTTTCATCAGACCAGAGTACATTTCTCCAAAAATGTACGATCTTTGTCCCCATGTGCAGTTGCAAACCATAGTCAGGCTTTTTTATGGCGGTTTTGGAGCAGTGGCTTCTTCCTTGCTGAGCGGCCTTTCAGGTTATGTCGATATAGGACTCACTTTACTGTGGATATAGATACTTTTGTACCTGTTTCCTCCAGCATCTTCACAAGGTCCTTTGCTGTTGTTCTGGGATTGATTTGCACTTTTTGCACCAAAGTACGTTCATCTCTAGGAGACAGAACGCGTCTCCTTCCTGACCGGTATGACGGCTGCGTGGTCCCATGGTGTTTATACTTGCATACTATTGTTTGTACAGATGTACGTGGTACCTTCAGGCATTTGGAAATTGCTCCCAAGGATGAACCAGACTTGTGGAGGTCTACAATTGTTTTTCTGAGGTCTTGGCTGATTTCATTTGATTTTCCCATGATGTCAAGCAAAGAGGCACTGAGTTTGAAGGTAGGCCTTGAAATACATCCACAGGTACACCTCCAATTGACTCAAATTATGTCAATTAGCCTATCAGAAGCTTCTAAAGCCATGACATCATTTTCTGGAATTTTCCAAGCTGTTTAAAGGCACAGTGAACTTAGTGTATGTAAACTTCTGACCCACTGGAATTGTGATACAGTAAATTATAAGTGAAATAATCTGTCTGTAAACAATTGTTTGAAAAATTACTAGTGTCATGCACAAAGTATATGTCCTAACCGACTTGCCAAAACTATAGTTTGTTAACAAGAAATGTGTGTAGTGGTTGAAAAACGAGTTTGAATGACTTCAACCTAAGTGTATGTAAACTTCTGACTTCAACTGTACATAGGGCAGCAGTCTCTAAGGTGCAGGGTCGAGTATCGGGGGGTAGCCGGCTAGTAACAGTGACTAAAGTTCAGGGCAGGGTAGTGGGCGGAGGCCGGCTAGTGGTGACTATTTAACAGTCGGATGGCCTGGAGATAGAAGCTGTTTTTCAGTCTCTCAGTCCCAGCTTTGATGCACATGTACGGTCTCTGCCTTCCAGATGGAAGCGGGGTGAACAGGCTGGGGCTCGGGTGGCTGAGGTCCTTGATGATCTTCTTGGCCTTTCTGTGACACCGGGTGCTGTAGATGTCCTGGAGGGCAGGCAGTGTGCCCCCGGTGATGCGTTGAGCTGACCACACCACCCTCTGGAGAGCCCTGCGGTTGTGGACGGTGTAGTTGCCATACCAGGCGGTGATACAGCCCGACAGGATGCTTTCAATGGTGCATCTGTAGAAGTTTGTGAGGGTCTTGGGGGCCAAGCCGAATTTCTTCATCCTCCTGAGGTTGAAGAGGCGCTATTGTGCCTTCTTCACCACACTGTCAGTGTAGTTGAACCATTTCAGGTTGTCAGTGATGTGCACACAGAGGAACTTTAAAGCTTTTCACCCTCTCCACTGCGGCCCCATTGATGTGGATGGGGGGCGGGCTCCCTCTGCTGTCTCCTGAAGTCCACGATCAGCTCCTTCATTTTGTTGACATTGAGGGAGAGGTTATTTTCCTGGCAGCACTCCACAAGTGTCCTCACCTCCTCCCTGTAGGCTGTCTCGTCATTGTTGGTAATCAGGCCTACCACTGTTGTGTCATCTGCAAACTTGATGATTGAGTTGGAGACGTGTGTGGCCACCTTATGACCTTAAACAACTATATGGGTAATGCAAAAGCAAAGTGCACAAAAATCTAAAATCTCAATGTGTTCATCCAACTTTCTTGGCTGTCTGATGGTGCATGTGAAGGTATGTCATGATCAGGAATGCCTGAACTCGGAGCCCGTTAGAATACCAAGGCAAACTGCAGTAACTGCAGTCAAAACACAGTGAAACAAAGCCAGAGTGCAGTAACTTCACTTACTGCTGTTTGCCTTGGTTTTTACTTGGATTTTGTAGTTACTGCAAATTTGACACTCGATTTTCTCTGAAACTGAACATAATTGAACCAGGACACTTTGTCACAAGATTTTCAGTTGTATTTTTTTAAACTAAAAATTATAAAAAATTAAATAAAATGACGACAACATTTCACAAGATAAAAAAAGATACTACAAAGCCTGATTTCAGTCTTAACTCAATTTTGACCAAATGTGTAGTTACTGCTGTTTTCAATTGTACGGCAGAGTACAGCTCTGATCTTGCCAATATCAGATTGTTTAAAACTTACCGTGAAGTAAAATCATAATAGTCATCATTCATAATAGTACATACATTTTAAAATGTTTTAGTCATTTAGCAGACGCTCTGATCCAGAGCGATTAGGGTTAAGTGCATTGCTCAAGGGCACATCGACAGATTTTTCACCTAGTCGGCTCGGGGATTAGAACCAGCTACCTTTCGGTTACTGGCACAACGCTCTTAACCACTAAGCTACCTGCCGCCCTAAAGTATATATCATACTTTATATGTTTATACTTTACAAACATACATTTTCATTATGTAGTTCTCAAAATCTGTAGTAGAAAAAAACAGTTCACATAAAATCGATAGGTTTACCAAACGGTTCAGTGACGATCAATTAAGAGCAGTCGGATTAAGAAATAGTAAAATGTATTTTAACAAACGAGAAGACAATCATATCAAAAGTAATGTTAGCATTGCATTGTGAAAAGCAATTACTTTATATGAACATGTATTGCAATGTGGAACGTATTTCTAGATGAAATACTGATTAGGTTTGGTGAAAAGTGACTGTATGATTTTGTGTATTGTACTGTACTTTAGTCAATTGAAAATTTGCTTAGAGTTTTGAAACAACTGCCTTTTGATGATCTGTTTTGGCAGAACTATTTTCATTTCACAGTGAGCATCTCAAACACACTCTCCAATCGACACACATGTATGACAACATCATATGATCCCTTACCTGACTGTGTCATAGTGATGTCCGTGCTGTCTGTAGACCAGTGCTGAGCAGGAGTGGAGCTGCCGTAGAGCACCAGGGGCCAGGGTGGTTCTGCTCTCTCTCTGCCACAAGGATAGCACTCTCTCCTGGGTCAGTCTGAACAGAGCCCCCCTCATGACGGCCGAAGCAGCGGAGCAAAGGCCACACTATGGATGAATCAGTTCTACTTCTACACTGGTAGGTAATGGTACACTACCTCCCAGTACACTGTAATCTCACTTCCTTAAACCTGATAGTCTTAATAGACTGGGAGGGTGAAGAAAGCATGTGTTTTCCTATATCTCATCTCCATTGTGGTGGTGACCCTGAAGCTAAATACTTCATGATTGTGTAACAGCCTGTTAAACAATCTACTGTATGTAAAAATCGGAAATTCCCAATGCAGCTCATAAGAATGAAAGTCGGAAAAGGTCAAGGTAAATTTGTTATAGCACTGAAGACATTTGTAGAGCTGAATTGGAGGGATAGTTTACCCAAATTACAAAATGACACATTGGTTTCCTTACCCTGTAAGTAGTCTGTGTACAAGGTATGATTTGGTTTCCAAATGCTAACGTTTAAGCATTTGTGGCACAAATCACATTCAAGTCATGGTACAGATATTAGCATTTTTCGAGCACCATGTCCAAATCATCCAATATTATCTACAATTGAATGTGAAGCTCAACAAAGTCCCTCAAAGATGATTTGAACATGATGCACAAAAAATGCTAATGTCGGTACCATGACTTTGTTAAAACGTTATATTTGGAAACAGTGCCAGGGAAACGAAACCAAGGCATGGATTGCTGTCATACCTTGTCCATAGACTGCTTATAGTGTAAGGAAACCGATATGTCCTTTTGTAATATCCCTTTAAGCATTTATACATCATGGTATTATAAAAATATTTAAATGCACTTCCAAATCAGATTGCAAACATATCTGTTGCTTAGCATTTTATTTTCATAATTCTTCCAATTTCAGTGCAGTTCACTGTTTGCTGCATAGATAATAGACATAGCCTACTGTAAAATAGTTGATAATAAAATGTGTGTGTACCAGATTGATAGTAGGCGTGTTTCTCTGTTGCTAGAAGGTTAGGCAGAGCAGCAGACTAAGGCAGTTCCTTGTTGGAAGAAATGTTGCTAAATTAATATATGGGAAATGAAGCAGATTACAACATGTGGCAATCCTCAAGATCCCGAGTGTAAGTTAAAAGTAACGGTTTGACATTGTAATAAAGACAAGAAAATGATTTGAATGCCTTCAAAGCATATATTTGAAAATGCTGCTTGTTGTTAAACGGTACAAATTCCAACCACACCATGCATACGGTTTGCTACATCACATGTAGTTTAGACAGACAGGGGGCTTAAGCCATACAGGAGAACAGAAGGGGATCCATAGTTCTCTAAATGAACCATGGTTGTATACTAAGTCATCCTACAGGTTCCACTCACTTTGGAGGGGGTTGGGATACTTCACACTCTAAAAAAGCAATCCAAACTCTGGGTATAAAGCTGGCTGGCCGTCTGATTCAGCATAAGGGAGAGGTTACAGTCTGGTAAGTTGTGTTTCCATGTGTTTTGGTGCTGCTGCTGTGCTTCAGGCAGTGACAGGCTTTGGTAGTCCGTGTTTAGGCTGCATTGGCTGGGCAGGTGAGGGGTTGAACCCCCTTGAATTCCAGGCCCTTGTTGAATTGAACCTCTAACACTTTGGATGCCTTGGTTATCTTCAGGTTGCGCATGCAGCCTTTGAATGAAGTACTAGAAGTCAGGCCAAACTGCTTGAGCCCCTCTGGAAAAGAGATAAAAGACACCATTGATTTATGACTGTTATTTTCTGCCCCATTAAGCACATTCATGTTTCTATTTCATAAATCAGAAAGCCGATGACTGCTTGACGTTATTACTTTGATTATATCCTGATGTTTAGATAGGAAGTAAAGCACAAACATTTTCAACATTATAGTGGAGCACGGTTTGCTTCACAGTATCCAGGGTCATGTTCAGGAGGTATAAATGTAACCTGATTCCACAGGCATCCCACTGGGCACAGACATCGTTGAAGCCATGAAGTTCAAGGCCAATCGCGGTACTGCAGGCATCGTTTTCAGAAGACAGGGTCCCCCATTATCGTGAAGGGGAAAATGGCAATCTACGTGGTCAATCTTAATATAAATAAAATATTTTTTTGAAGACAATCATGGTACCAATAATTGCTTCTATTACACCAGATGTATGTGCTTGAACCGATTATTTTAAAATCGCAGATGAAGTTATATGTGTAATTTAGTAGCTAATGGCAGCCTGCAGTACCTCGGTCGCCATTCAACTTGAGATACTCAATGAGAGGGGGCAGCACTGAGCTAGCCTGCAATGTCACTTCCTGGAGTAGCTCAAACTGCACATGTTATGTCTACATAAATCTTTAAGACGCCATCTTAAAGGTATACTTCGGGATTTTGGATTTTGGCCATCTGCTTTCCCAGAGTCAGATGAACTCGTGGATACCATTTTTATGTCTCTTTGTCCAATAGGAAAGAAGTTAGAGGTAGTTTCGCGAGCCAATGCTAACTACCGTTAGCACAATGAATGCTAGTTAGCAATCTTCAATCAAACTGTACGCAGAGACATAAAAATGGTATCCACAAGTTCATCTGACTCTGGGGAAGTAGATAAAGGGCCTCACTGTCAAAATCCTGAAGTATCCCTTAACCGACTTCTTAGGCTTCAAATACTCTATTGAGTCTTTACATAGGAATGAATGGTGTCACGTTGTCCATTCATTTATGCAGTCATATATGCACCTGGGTATCCACCGACGTAGATGGGGTCGCTGGTGTCAACGGTGTTGAACCTGGCGTTGGGGCTCTCTGCTTCCACCTTCCTGCCGTCCACTATGATCTCCAGCCTGTGGCGGAGCTTGTGGGCTGTGACCGAGTGCCACTGACCGTCACAGAGGCCTGCCTCTGCTTCAGGCTGGTATTCAGCTGTGATCCGGCCCGCTCCGTTGTCCACGTGGAACAGCAGCTAGGGAGGGAAGAAGTCATACTCAGAATACACCTGACCTGTTCAATAGGTAGTTTGTAACAAAACATGACTGTTAGTTATGAACAACCATGATCCTATTGAACCCCATTAACTAATGTATACAGTACAATAGCTTTGCACACTTATGGTTGTTGTTAGGCTTACAGTAAGAGAGTGTAGAGTCTGGTTAGAATTAAATGTATGTGGTACAACAAAGCAGCATTGTATTGTATGTTTGTGTGTACCTTTCCGTTGTGCAGTTCGATGCCAAGGCCCTCCATCTTGGTGTCCACCTGGCTGCTGACCGCCAGCAGAACACCGTTGCTCTGGGACGTACGGAACTCCAGCTCCAGAGACACGTCCAGACCCACCCTGTAGGAACCCACTGAACCAGAGGACAGGAGATACAGGGAGCAGTCAGAATTGATACAACAACTGCCATGAGATTGAATAATAAGTTCTCTATGATACTGTCATAAAAATAATATCTCTGTGAAAAGTTGGTGTACGAGTAGTCAACCATTCATCATCAACATGTATTGTTCCACGTTATTATTATATTATGTGATTGGTGGGATATTTTGCATCGTGGGGTCAGGAGTTTTTCCTGGTCAGGTCACATGGTCAGGAACAACTCCAGGCCATAACTATAGGTACAGTTCTACGTTTTGAGTGTCAGAACGTACCTGCTTTGACATATCCAGTGCCATCAAAGTAGGTTCCCTTCTCAGTGCTGATGAAACAGCTGCCCACGTGGTGGCTGGAGGTGGGCGTGTCCATGTCCAACACATTCCCCAGCATCTTGAAATTCCTAATGCAGCCATTGATACTGTACAAGACCTAGAAGAAGAACACAACCAACACTATACTTTACACTGAGACATGTCATTTACTTTTGAATGTATCCCATAAGTTGTAAACGATTACTGTTAATATCAACACTTTAAGCTGATCACATGTAATGTAATACATACAATTACAGTAATACAGAGTCTACAGTTAGGCATAATACATACAATTACAGTAATACAGAGTCTACAGTAAGGAGTAATACATACAATTGAAAGTAATACAGAGTCTACAGTGAGGCTTGTGTTTCACTTCCTACAAATGAAATACACCACCAAACCAAATGGGAGGAAGCGTGTATGAACGTACTGGTCCGATCCTCTTGGTGGTATAGTTGACGGGTAGGCCACCTATATACAGCATGCCAACAACATCCAGGATATCAGCCTTCTTGGGGCTGGTGGTGTGCTTGGAGTAGCGGTTGTCTATCACCAGTACACCTCTCTGTTTCTCTCTCATCACCCGGATCTGTGACAGCAGAAGGGAAAAGATTTGAGGGGAAACAAGGACAATAACAATACATAGCTTTAATACACAATTACATTTACGTCATTTAGCAGACGCTCTTATCCAGAGCGACTTACAGTTAGTGAGTGCATACATTATTATTTTTTTCATACTGGCCCCCTGTGGGAATCAAACCCACAACCCTGGCGTTGCAAATGCCATGCTCTACCAACTGAGCTACATCCCTGCCGGCCATTCCCTCCCCTTCCCTGGACGACGCTGGGCCAATTGTGCGCCGCCCCATAGGGTCTGCCGGTCGCGGCCTGCTACGACAGAGATGAAAATAAAGTACTGTAGTTTCTGATTACTTTGCTTGCTTCCTGTTTTGGTCAACTAACTAGTCATAGTGCTTTTATAGCGTCATTGTGACATACAGTATTTAGCTATCTGCTCTCACTATATAAACTCACTCAGACAGTGAAGTAGACCTGATGGTAACTGCCAACAGACTCTGTACACCACGTTAAGGGTTATAAATTATTATGAATATTGGTTTCATTGTTGCTATGATGAAGGTTTCACCAGCTGACTCGAGAGCCCAGACCTTGTGCCAGTGTCCGTCGTTGATGATGCGTGGCACGCTGACGGAGGTGTTGCCGTGGCCCAAGTCGTACCCGAGGTGGGCCATGCCCTCCTTCACCTGGATGGTGGCAAAGTCAGCGTGGTTGATCCTTGCCATGTAGAACACCAGGCCTGACTCTGCTGTGGTCCGCAGCTCAAACTCTATGATCAGTCTGCAAGCAAACACATTCACAACACTGTCAATCCAATATGGCATTTACAGATATTACCCATGTCTTTAATAACATTATTATGTATCATTTAGATAAGAAAGGTCTCATTTGGGCTTTACTGTTATCAAATAAATGTAAACTCGACATACCTGTTCTTAACCTTTGTGTCATCGAATTCAAATGCAACATGGCTGTTTTTTGGAGAGACCAAACTGTTTGGCTTTCTCTAAGACCACTGGAGATGCCTCGGCAGCACAGGAAAGCTGTTGAAGAAGGGGGGGGGGGGGGGGGGGGGAGTGGCAGTCGTCTTAAAAACATTATATCAACATGATCTCATTCACAGAGTGCATTAAAAGACAATGCAAACCTTCCTTGAATATGAATGTACAGTAGTCTACCTACTTTCTGTCTGAAGTGCTATTCTAACATGTGCCAGTAGATGGTGCTAATGAAAAACACATGAAGTTGCTATTGAGACTACCTGAAAATTGAAATGTGTTTTTGCAAGGCCACCTTAGCACTGCCAACATCTGAATCACGTATTTGGTTCAGTTCTGTACATGAAGACATTCCTTTTACTCTGACCTTGCATCCACATCTCACTCAATGTAGAATATCCCTTTTCTTCTATATTCTTGTTTAGCCACAAAGGCTCCCATTGCTTAAAAGGGCATTTATTTATCTTAAAGTCACAGCATAAATTACAGCATATCTAGCCTGTTTATAAAGAAGAACTACTACAACCATATTGGTTTACTAAGAATGTACTTCTCTTCTAAGAAAATCCCCATTGAAAGTAAAACGTCTGTTGCCAATACTAAGAATATGGACATGGAATGTATATTTCACATGAGCAACAAATCTTCACACAGACGGCATGGTGTTGAAGGTCTTGAGGTGGGATCCAATGAGATGAAGGTTCAGCAGACACATGCTTAAAGGGCTCGGGGGGGAGGGGGGGACACGTAGGGAGAAGTGAGTGAGAAGAGTAGAGTGGTACCGGAGGGGCTGTGACAGCACCGTAGTCAGGTTCCTCTGTGGCGGGGCTGAGTTCTGGAGGTACGACAGGGGGCGCGTCCTAAAGTAGCGGCAGGGCAAGGGGGGAGTGAAAGGGTTAAGCTGTGGTACACACTGCCAATCAGATTGGCTACAGCATTCATGACACAGGCGGCCCACCAATCAGGCTGGGGCACTGATGTTATGAATGGCGAAAGTCAGCACAGCAGGTAGCTAGAGGAACAGTGCTAAGAAAAGGATTACAGTATTATTACAGAAATGCACATCATTTCTACAAGCAAAGAGAGGTACTACCAGTGGCAATACTGCCGCAATCTATACATTTGCCTACGATGATACGTCCATGGAGATGTATCATGAGAATATATGAGGAAGATACAGGTGGGGTAGGCCAATGCAAGGCATCTTGGTTAGATGAGAATGGATGAGCGAGAGAGAGAAAGAGAGAGAGAGAGAGAGAGAGAAAGAGGGAGAGAGGGGGGGGGGGGGGGGGGGGGGGGGAGGGAGAGAGAGAGAGGACAGAGAGAGCGCTGCTACACTACCTCAGCTGTCAGCCAGAGAGGATATATTGAGCACAGGAGCTATAAGAAAGAGCCCTGTCAACACTGCAACTTTACCTATAAAGCAGACCTAATGGATTGGAAAACGTCCCATTCTTTATCCCAGCCACATCAACCTCTCTGATAGTGTATTTAGACTCAGGGCCAACCGGCCTGCCTGGCTGAGCTTTGCTGGGGATGGATGTCAGCTCTTTATGACCCATGGGGAAAATGTATCACACCATCATAGGGTGGGAAATGAGTCATTTAACGCGCCTTTCCTTTCTGCTACTCCCTGATACCCCTAGTGGGAGTGGGACCTACAGTGGGAGGTGGAGGGGTCTGTCTGGGTGTCGGGGTGGGTGGTGGTACAGCAGGAGCCTCAGGTTGGACCGGCTGGGACACGTCTTCTTCCTTGGCCTCCTCCTCCTCTTCATCCTCTTCTTCTGGGAGGGGCAGCGGGGGAGGGGGAGGAGCCAGGTTGGGACACTGGCCGATCTCTGCATTCTCAAAGACCACGGGCTGGGAGAAGTCTGTGAGGCTGTAGGGCATAAAGACGCGGGCAAGAAAACACACACACACACATGCACAGACGTGCCCGCGCACACAAAATCACAGACACACACAGGGAGAGAAAGAGAGAGTGTGTAAATGGGTGATGATGGGGCTTGGCTATCAGTGTAATTATGAACATGGTTATCACAAAGGACAGCCCCATTAAAGCCAACTAAATATGGGTCAACTGTGTTTAGCCCACTGGGGAGAGAGAGAGAGAGAGAGAGAGAGAGAGAGAGAGAGAGAGAGAGAGAGAGAGAGAGAGAGAGAGAGAGAGAGAGAGAGAGAGAGAGCACTGATTCCTAATGATAGGAATTTATTATCATCCGTAGAAAAAAACTGTTAAATAACAGCATTTACAACCTCTTTAACTGGGAGAAACGAACGCACCATGAAACAGCTCACAACTACATGACACCACAACGCATGTACAACATTTCCCACATAGCCTTCCATGAATAATATCTACAATCAGGATAATGAATAGTTATGGTAGATAGACTAGATGTACTCGGGAGATAATAGGAGATGGTGAGAGACGTACATGGTATTAATCATGAGGTTCCAGATGCAGCCTTCGAAGGGGTCGTTGGGTCTCTGGGTGCTGAGCTCTACATCAGGGGGGATACCCCCGATGAACAGTCTCTTAATGCCCATGTTTTGGTCGTTGGGAAGAGCCTGCTCCCTCTTCAGCTCCTCATCCACCTGGACGGCGAATGACCTGGACAGAGAACCACGCAGGACAGTACAGTGAGACACTTTGAGCCAGCTCTGTGTAAAGACAGCTAAAAATGAAAAGCTGGAAACAAGTTTATTAAGACACAAGTTATTGTGCTAAACTGTATGACGCTGTTCAGTGTATACCAATACCAATGTGTGTGTGTGTGTGTTTGTGTGTGTTACGCACCTGCCACCCAGTCTCTCGATGCGCAGAGTGTGTTCCCTCCCGTCATGCAGGATACCCTGGTCAGGCTTGCGGACCACCCTGCGTGGGCTGTGGCTGCCTGTGAACACCAGCACCTCCAGGGCCCCCTTGTTCAGCAACACGGCCAGGAAGGGCTGCAGGGGAGACGAGAGGGGATGTGAGGGGGAAGAACCATGGAGGCACAACAACATCCAATCTCAATGACCAACACCACCTCAGGACAGACTCAGGGACACAAGGTTATACAGAAAAGCAATATCGCACATAAACACTGTGGTTATTAAACAAAGGCTTTATGCACTATCATCTGGGGCAAGTCAGTACAGGCTTAATGCAATAGGGAGTCCTGAATGTTCAAAGACAATTAGAACGTTATGCCATTCACCAGAAACCTCACATACTTTGAGAACGGAAGTAAACTTTACATAATTGCATACTGATACACTTTTCAACCCTGAGGACTTGTAGCGTTTATGTAAGTCCTCTATTTCTCTACACGGCTTGATTCGATTCTGTTTGGGCAGAACTTCAGAGAAAGTGCGGCCCTCTCTGAAACATACCAGGCAAGAAATAGATAGATTTAAGTGCCTCTTGTTATGATTAAATTCTCTGTAATCAGTCCAGCGAGATGTTGAGCACATCCCTTGACAGCATTGCAGACTAGCATGCACAGAGGGAGTTTGCCTAGGGAGAGTGAGGGAGTGCTACCGTTAGAATACCTCTGGTCTGATGCAGCATGCGCTCCTCCTGTCCCCTGCGCAAATTGGCAGAAAGAATGACGCGGACACGGAGGCCGACGAGGCCGACTTGTACTCATTCGAAATGACATCCACTTAATTTACTAGGCCCTAATGATTTTCAAAGGTGACGGTCTGGACCTTTCCCAAGGGTTATTGCCGAATTGGACGTGATCTATCAGAGGGCTGTTGTATAATCTATTTCTTACTAACGGCACATGAAGGGAGAATGTTAGAGGTTAAACCCGCTATCATTTCCTGCAGCCACGGGCCATAATTGATGTGTTGGTCCGCAGAAGTCTGCAGACGAACAGAGGGAGAGATTGAGAGAGAGAGCTGGAGAGATGAAGAGTGCCCTAACAGATGCAAAAAGCCATATTTTAATCAAAGCCGTTGTCGCAAATCTCCCAGCCTTTAGCCCTCTGTGAAAGATGATCAACTTTTGTTTGCTGTCGGGTGAATGTATAATCATTACAGCTTACAGGCAATCCATCTCTTTTATCATTCATTTAATAACGAGCCTTGCACACAGCAGAAATTGATTAGCAATGTGCTGTTAGTTTTTCAAAGCAACTCAACCAGACAGCACAGCGCCCCTTATTAAATTACAGAAACCTAGAAACACCTCCAACAACCATTCCATTGCTACTGGGAAATAGGATGCAATGACTTATAAAGAACAAGGAGGTGACATTATAGAGGACTAGGTGCTGAGTTAGGAGGCTTTCATAACTGCAACACTGAAGTGAGAGAGTGTGTTTGTGTGTATGTGCGTGTGTATGTGCGTGTGTATGTGTCTCATCCTCCTCCTCTTACCTCCCCAGACTGCCTGCGTCTCCTCTTGGGGAGTTGGAACTGGGAGCTGGCCCCATTGGTGCTCCCACTGCCAAACAGGATGATACCCTTATCACTCTTGGTTGCGAAGGACAAGCTGATCTCTGTGCCAACATCGAAGGACATGGACCTCAGCTCCATGTGACCTGGCTTGGAGAAGCTCACTGTGTGGAGGTTCTGTTGGGGAGAGACCAGAGATCACGGTCATTCACAGCACATTCAATTGAGAGTCATCAGTAATTTTCAGGGTTCTTTTTATAATCTGAATACTGTATAACAGTACAGTATATTATAAGGCCTATGTTGCTTTGTTTATAATGTTCATATACATTTCAGACTTATAACGAACATAATAATAAACCTTGTTTGTTAGAGTACAGTTTGTTAGAGTACCACTGTATGCATTTGCAGATGCATCATCAGGCATTGACACAGGGTCCACAACAAATGAAAGAGCTGAATTGAGCGTGAAATTTTGCAAACATCTTCCAAACACAACTGAGACGTAGAAACCAGCCTTTGCTGAATTCAAAATGACTTATACCACTTAATTCTTGGCATTGTTACAGTCTTTTGCATTCGGTGTCTGTGGTGATGAACAATGGCGCCGACAGACATGGCAGCTCTGCTTCTAGCTCCTACAAGCATTTCGCTACACCCGTAATAACATCTGCTAAATATGTGTATCTGACCAATAAAATGTGATTTGGTGTTTGTATAAATATTTAAATATTTTTCCCTAACGAAAAGAACACTTTTAGAAGCAGTGATTTCTCTTCTTTATGGTATCTATCACTATCTCATTATTCCAATAATCTTTTTCGGTTTCTTTATATCAGTTTTCTGACCTCACTCATTTTTATTCTTCCTTATGTTTTTTCGAGGGATGTTGGGCAAAATGTTGGCCCATATTTTATGAGCAGGCCTATATCTATAAACAGTTAAAGGGAGGGGTGAAAAGAAGAGGGGTATGAAAGAGGAGGAGTGCTAATAAAAACCTGTGGAGGATAAACCGACCTCTACAGAGCAGCCTTTGGTCAGGCCGGTGTAGTCTGAGCTGCTCAGCAGGTTATAGGGGGTTCTGGAAACCTCAATGTCTCTTATACAGCCAGCATACCTCTTTTTGGTAACCTCTGACCTGTAAAGAGAAGAGAGAGTTGTCTCAATTGCCATTATGACCATCATTCTGTTCATTGTGGAAGTGCTGTCCTCATTTTTTTAGGAGCCAATGACCGTGAGATGTAGACCAAATTGAGACTGCATTCATTCTAAATGAATAAAGTGAGGCTTCTTTTTTGAAGCTGTTTTAAGAACATTTCTTTGGTATACCTTTTATCTGGGGTTTATTCTAAAGCTATGAAACATTTATCTGAACAATTAGACAGCATCTTCTGCATAGCAGACACAAAGCTGCCAAGAGTGCCTCATTGTTAAATGTTCATTTCAAAATGGTGCCAGCAAATTCCATTTACAGTAACATGCTAGAGAAGTGGTGGGGTGACAACACAGCATCTATTGAATGGAAAGGAGTGGAAGCTGTATCCTACTGGTCCTCAGAATTTTGTGCTCATGTTCATTTGGACTAATATCTAAAACCTCCATTGAGAAAAGGAGGGGTGTATACTGACTCAATTCTGATGACCAGCTTGTTGCATTAAAGCATCTACAACTTAAGCACAAGAGCATATTTTTCTGAACTAAATGCATGGTAACTTGCATGGTAAAGCCAGGTTACCAGAGAGGCTTTAGAGAGTAAATGGGTATGCTAGTACATGCAAAAGGTGATACAGGAAACTTTAACAGTACACATTTTTACCTTGATTTGATACTGTAAGAACAAAATATAAACGTATATGCATATTAGCACAAGTATAACACACAAATTAAACACTGTCAAAATATGTAGACAGGAGTCACAATCAAAAGTGAAAAGAGTACATTCAGTTCTCCCTGTGTGTGTTGAAAGGGTCTATAAGACCTACAGAATATACGTCTGATACTGCCAGAGACTGTGAAGGTCTAACATTGAATGTTTACAATGACAGATCTATATAACCCATTGTTCCTGTTTATGTTATCTATTGTTAGAGTTCAATGAGAGTTAACACCAGAGAGGGCAGTGACAATGTGACACTGACTCAAGGTCCGGCAGCAGATAGAGGTGTTCTAATGGAAACTTAAGTGTCTGTCTGTCTGTCTGCCTATATCCCTTGTCAATCCTCAACTTTCATAGCCAAACGTGACAACATGAGAAGAATAGCAACAATGAGTAACAGACTGTAGAGTACTGAGTGTCTGAGCAAAGAACGGAGCAGAGGTGTAAAGAAAAGCTATCTGAGGTGTACTTTAGTGCACACATAAAAACAGACTTGTAGCATAAGGCCCTACTGTAGAGGTGATTGACATCCTACAGAGTACAGTACATACCTGTAGTTTCCAATGGTTGGCAAACCCCCAAAGTAGATCCTCTCATCCTCCTTGAGGTTGAGCCCAGTGGCAGAGCCTTGGGATGACACCACCAGCTTCTCCTCTTCATTGGTATCTATGTCCACGATGGTCACCGTAGCTGGGGTGAAAGGAAACCAACAAGGGTAAATGTCTGTTCAACAAAAAGCTCTGATGAAGCTACAAAGGCGGTATGTTCTATAAACTACACAGTCTCTACAAACATCAACTGGAGTGGAATGTTATATGTATTATGATGAGTGTGAGTGTCACCTTGTTTCTTCATGCGGGCCATAGTGAAGGACTTCCACCTGCCGTCGTTGTGTCTCTTGATACTGAGGACCGAGCCGGTGCCTGAGCCCAGGTCAAAACTCACCTTCACTAGACCATCACTCAACTCAGCACTCATAAAGTCCTTCTGTCTCAGAGAGGGGAGAGAGGGAGAGAGAGAGAGTTTATTGAGTAATATAGATAAATGATTCATATCTAACACACATTTAACAGTTTTCATTACTACTGAACTTGAACAGTTTGCTAGTCCTCGTTAAGAGACAGGTGTGTGTATGAGTGAGGTTACCATATCCTTGGTGGCGAAATACATGAGCAGGGAGTCGGTGGAGAAGGAGCGGAACTTGAACATGACGGTGGAGACGTTGGGGTTCCATCTGGTGGGGCGGCTCACAGCAGCGTAGCCCTCCCCATCAAACTGTACCGTCCCCTCTGTGTCTGACGGCTGGGGGCTGAAGCACACACCCCCAAACACTCAGCAATAATCACACAGTCAAGTGAACTTTTAGGACATAAAAGAGTGTATAGTGAACTTCTAGAGTAAAACATTCGTGAATGTTTATGAGATCGTTAAAAAAAAGTCCTTACACTACAATATACATTAATATCAAGTATTCAATGTGATGTGAAAACGCAGGCATACCTGACCACACATCCTTTGCAGTCTCCTTCTCTCTCTCTGTAGTTCCACAGGCCAATAGGTTTGTTGTCCAGGTATGTCTCTCCCATACACCCGGAGAAAGTAGTGGTTTTGACAGCGTCCGCTTTCTACAGGACAAACAACGATACACATAGTGAATACCAATGAATCTAGCAAAAAAAAGAAAGCGGTAACAAAATACTAAATATATAGCTCTGGGATAAACTTCTGTATGGCAAAGTGATATCAGCTACCTTCACACTGCCCAATATGCCACCGACAAACAGGTAGGCATTCTGGTCCACATCCAGGATAGTATAGCCATCAGGAGAGGTGCCACTCTTAGAGGTGGGCATGATGCCAGCTTTGGGACCCTCCAGTGCATGGACAGAGATGGTGCCATTGATGCCATTCCTGGGATCAAAACAGAAATGATCAGATGATGAATTAAAACTTCATGAAATTTTCAATAAGAAGGCTACCTGGCACAATCAGTGTTAAAAGATTAACTAATGAATAAACTCATAGACGAATCCCTTTCAATAACCTTTGCTCTGAAAAAAGACCTGGTGTAGAATGTGAATAACAATGGTTTTCTACCGTGAGGCCTCGATGCGATGCCAGTTGCCGTCGTTGATAGTCATGTCAGGATACTCAACCTTGCCCACTCCAGAGCCCACGTCCCACAGGAAGTTGACCTTGCCCTTACGCATCTCAATGGCCAGGAAGTCAATCTAGAGGCAGACAGAGGATGAGCCAATAAGATGCAGCGCTGCAATCTCCTACCTGATAACATTACAGATCGATGACTATTCTTTCTCTCTCTATGGGTCTAGACTGCTGTAGTGTCGCACAGTGTAGGAGCACAGAGCAGGACACATTAGAATAAGATCCTGAGGAATTAAGAGGCACAGGCAAATCAGGAGAGGAGCAACAGGATTGTGATTTCCCCAGGGAAATCAGTGATGAAACCAGATGAAATAGTCTGGTTTGAACGGCCGGTTAATTGCTGTGGTCGCTGTTGCAGTACATAGAGGCAATATCACCCACTCTCTCCTGAGGATCTCACAAGGAAATGAATAACCTTTTATTATTTCCTCTCTGACTTGAACATAATTGGTATTTATCTTGTATGTTGAGAAATATCCACTGGTGGAATGATATCTAATTAATTGGTCAACAACACATTACACATCCCGGGCTAGAGATAAGCCCAACCAAACAGTGAAAAATAGCCCTAATATGTTAAGTTTCACACAAAAATGTATTTGTTGCCCAGAGGTTTACCATATTAGGGTTAAGTGATTTACTTAGTGATTGTATCCACAAACACACACACACACACACACACACACACACACACACACACACACACACACACAGGTGACTAACATCTCAGTGTGGCGTTATCTCCTCTGACTCACATATTTGATACTGCCCAGGTAGAAGAGTAGGTTATCAGGGGAGGTGGTCTTCACATTCACAATGATGGCATTGTAGCGACCCTTCTTGATTTCTGGTCGATATGCACGGATACAGTCTCCTCCAGAGGATACGGACACTTTAATCTTTGTAGGGAGACATCACATGGATCTTATACCAAACAGAGAGCACTAAAAAGGTCCAGAGGATACGGACACTTTAATCTTTGTAGGGAGACATCACATGGATCTTATACCAAACAGAGAGCACTAAAAAGGTCCAGAGGATACGGACACTTTAATCTTTGTAGGGAGACATCACACGGATCTTATACCAAACAGAGAGCACTAAAAAGGTCCAGAGGATACGGACACTTTAATCTTTGTAGGGAGACATCACACGGATCTTATACCAAACAGAGAGCACTAAAAAGGTCCAACCCACTGGACACACACTGGTTGAATCAACGTTGTTTCCACGTCATTTCAATGAAATTACGTTGAACCAAAGTGGAATAGATGTTGAATTGACGTCTGTGCCCAGTGGGAAGAAACGTTCAGGAAAACACAACTGTGTAGTAACAGAAGTACAAGTGCAATGTCCTTTAGAGGCAAGAGCAACAATTTGTTATTTTACTCTTTTGTACCAATCAAATAAAAAACACACAAACCTTGAGTGTAAGAGACTGTTAAAAAACAACAACACACGTTATCTTTGATTGAATGTTCTTTGTTTAACAGAGCCTTCACTCAAACTGTGGCGATGCATGTGCACCACAAGCTAAAGCTGGGTGGAGGGATAAAGAGGGATGTGACTGAACTCTCCTAGAACGAGTTGTAAATCACCATTTCTGTGATGATGGCACAGTTAGCAGAATGGCCGGCTTAGAAGCCACTGATTAAAGCAGTGGAAACAGAGGAGGTGGGAACGAGAGAGAGGGATGGAGAGGAGGAGTGTGACTCACAGAGTTGGCCTGCTTGCGCGCCTGATTGATCAACTCTTTAATCTGGGAGATGTTTTTCTTCAAGTTGTCCTGCAGCTCTTTGATGGGCTTCAGTTTCTCCAGCAGTCTGTCTGCCTTGTCCTCCAGGTCTTTCACCTTGGCCCCCGCTGCATGGACTGATACACACATACACACACACACACGTAAGCACGCACACCAGACACGCCAGACACACACACGCAAGAACAAACACACACAAGGACGGACAGACGCACACGCACAGACGCACACACACAGGGTAGAGAGACGTCAGTCTAAAAACACCAAACATCACACTTCCTTACTAACTACTAATTTCCACAGCCACTGCTTTCTGTGAGCCAGGCCTATTAGTTAGAGATCAGCGGAGAGATGGCGGCATCGTAATCACTTATTTAAAGGTGAAGATCACAGTCACTTATTTAAAGGTAAAGAGCTGAAAGCTGTTATGAAAAGAAAGAGGATGACATAGTAAATGGCTTGCTATGCATTCATAATTAGCCACCGGTAATCTTTCCAAGGCATACATTAGGATAACAGGCTTAGTGAAGCTCTAAAATACACGTTTTAATCCTGTTGAAGTGAAACAAAGAGATGGAATGCTGAGGAAGACAGAATGAAAGCAAGAGGTATTTTATTGTTACTATTTTTCCTACAGCTACGGTACAGCCCATGCAGCACTAATGGATACTCTCTCTGTCATCATGCAGGAGCTTTAATCAGGTAATATAAAAGGTATACATACTTATTGCTGTTGGGGTTCAAAAGAAAAATGGGACAGAAAGAAAAAAATATGTGAGGTACAGAATTATACAATGTCATGTGTGAGACAGAAATGTGCCAGAGTAATAGATATCTACGCTCACAAGTTTAAGTTGAACCCAAAAAAACTAACAAATGCATTTTGAGTCAATCAGCGCATGTCTTGGCACGGACAATACTTTTAATATACAGTAAATACTACAGCTTTCCTACCCTTAAGAACTACAACACCCAGAGGATCTCTTACTGTTTTTCTCAGGGTCCTGGATCATGTTGTTGGCCTTGTTGACGTCATCCTCCAGCTTGCTGTAGTTCTTCTTCAGGCCCATCAGGTTCAGGTTCATGTCTCTCAGTCTGGCCAGTACATCATTGGCTGTGTCGTTGGCATCTCCTGCCTTGGCCTTGGTAATCTGTAGCTTGGCTGCTGTATCTGGACAACAAAGTTGGTATACAATATGTAGTAATCTAAAGTTCAAGAGAGACTAGTAATCCAACATGGTATGGACTATTGGAGGTAGTCGGTCATACATGATGTTTAACAGCCTTACAGAAATCTTTATGTCAACTCTGCTGCCCACCCGTCAGATGTTTTGAATGCACCCTGCAGCCTGCCTGTCTGATTCCTTACCATATTTAACCTGGACTGTGCCGCATTGACTTCTGTCATGTTGGATCTACAAGAGCATGTGGCCTCTCACCTCATAGCTACACCACTATTGATCCATTATGCTCCCACATCCTGGGCTCAGCCTGACAAATTGCTCCAGCAGCAACACACATCAATGAGAAGTATTTCATTTGTTGTTTGTATTTAAACAAAGGTCATTTCCTACTGTTGTTTCTGTGATTACCATTGGGGATTGCATTCAGCTTCCGTAACGTATCGTCCAGATCCTTCCGCAAGCCCTTGTTCTTCAAGCCACCAGCTTTCACCCTAGCCTGGAGACTGCCAACACTCTCAGCGTTCTCTGAAATACAAAGACGTCCGCTTGGTTCCCAAAAACATATCCATACCAACACTCCTCAGAAAAAACAGCTCTTTGAAATATGTCTGGCGTTTATCATCACAGTTGGTGGGTGTTGTATGGGGAAGGGATCAACATGATTTTGTCTCAGTGGAACTGGATTTACCTTTCACATCATTCTCTAACTGCTTGGCTTCGTTCCACAGTTGAATGCTCTTCCGAACAGAGTTCTTGGCGTTATCCTTCAAAGAGCCTTTGGGTCCTGATGCCTGTGTGTGTGCACCAAGAATGTACGCTTGAATATCAGAACAGTGCATTCTACAGTGACCAAAGAATGTAGTAGAAGAATTACATACTGTACATACAACAATAGAATAGTACAAGATACTCCTAGGTACTGCACAATGCACAGCGTACTACACAAATACTATTTAATATAGAACTTATAATACCTTTTATTAATAGAGAACCTCAGGTGCATATGCCTCTGTTTCTCAGACTTAACATCATAACTTAACACATTGAAGTGCACAAATGAATATAAAAACACCAACATAGTTCTGAAAACAGTCTTTTTTTTTACATTGTTAATAGTGTGTGGAGAGGAAAAGCAGTGTTTTTGAACAGAGGACACACGGGCTGAGGAGATTTCCACAGAGGGGACCAATGTTCCCTCTCAGCCCCCTGAGCCTCTCCCTCTCTCCTTCAGAGAGAAGAAGGGGGAATAGATTTCTCTTCACCTCCGCTGGCTCCTGCTGCAGGAGGCAGAGTCATGATAATAAGGACAACAGCGCTGGAACTTTGATCTCTCCAGCGTGACTAATGGAAATGAATAAGGAAATGCAAAAACGTTTGAACGCCAAAACTCTGCTGCTCAGCACATTAGAGAGAGAGGTCCTCTTTGAGTCCTTACACGCACGCGCGCACACACATACACACGCGCACACACACGCGCGGGGTGAAGGGGTGAAGTGTGTGTAGGTGTGTATGTGCTCTCACCAGCTGAAGGGCCTCTGTCCCGCGTGCCCTGGCCTGCTTTGCCTCTTTGTCAGCCTCCTCGATGAAGTCCTTGATGTTGCTGTATGCGTTGAACGCTGCTGTGGCGTTAAAGGACAGGTTCTTGGCTTCTGCCAGGATGCTGTGAGGAGACAGCAAGAGACTTGGTTAGGACACCAGCCAATACACTTACAAAACATTCAATAACAACAATTACATTCAATCCATTGTATCATTATAACAGAGGTAGAACAAACAAAACTACCCCCCCAAAAATATTATTGGTTCATTGTCTGTCTGTCTTTCTGTCTGTCTGTCTGTCTGTCTGTCTGTCTGTCTGTCTGTCTGTCTGTCTGTCTGTCTGTCTGTCTGTCTGTCTGTCTGTCTGTCTGTCTGTCTGTCTGTCTGTCTGTCTGTCTGTCTGTCTGTCTGTCTGTCTGTCTGTCTGTCTATCTTTCTGTGAGCCAGCCTGTGTGCCTTCCTGTGTGTGTGTGTGTGTCTGTCTGTCTATCTTTCTGTGAGCCAGCCTGTGTGCCTGCCTGTGTGTGTGTGTGTGTGTGTGTGTGTGTGTGTGTGTGTGTGTGTGTGTGTGTGTGTGTCGGTCTGTCTGTCTATCTTTCTGTGAGCCAGCCTATGTGCCTGCCTGTGTGTGTGTGTGTTTGTCTGTACCGGTCCAGGATGTTTGAGGACACGTTGAGCTCAGCAGCGTGGTTCTCAGCGTCCTGCAGAAGGTCAGTCAGGGTGTTGCCACTCAGGCCCTGGGTCAGATGGCTCACACTGTAGTCCAGCTGCCCATGGAGAGGACCCAGCTCATGCTCCATCTCCTCCAGATCCTACACAGAGAGAGAGAGGGAGAGGGAGAGGGAGAGAGGAGAGAGGAGAGCGAAGAGGAGAAGAGAGAGAGAGAGAGAGAGAGATAGATCGCGCTCACGAGAGAGAGAGATATTAGAGTCGAGAGAGATCTGAGCTCGCTCTCTGCGCTTCTCAGCTCTCTTCTGAGCGACCCCGCTCATCGCGCTCCGTTGTTTTCGCACGAAAGACAGACAGACAGAAAAAAACAGAAAGAGAGAGAAAGAGGGAGAGAGATCAAGCTGAACCTCCTCATTGATGCAGGTGAGGCGTACAGATGTACAAATTAAGTCCTGGACAGAAAAAGGTCTACAGTAAAGTCCAATAGTGCTGCAGGCTACATCTGTCTGACAACACAACAGCAACCCAACAGAGTAAAGGTGTGTCTTCCTTCCCCAATGAAGGGCTTGACAGGCCTGACTCGAGTTGGGATCTGTGTGTGTGTAAGTGAGTGTGTATACCTCAATCTCCTTATTGATGTTGTCTGAGAGCCCATTGGCTTCAGCCAGAATGCGCTCTCCGTCTGCCAGCACGTCTTCAGTTCCTTTCTTCACTGAGCTCACAGCATCCCTCTTTCTCTGCAAACAGACAGACAAGAACAGTCAGCTCCAGTAATTTTACAGAAACAACAACCCACGTTGTGAGTGATGGTGTATATATAACTATGGAATAGTTAGTACGTGTATGTATGTGTGACCAGGCTGCTGACCTCCAGGGCGGTGAGGTTGCGCTGGTTCTGTCCGGACAGGGCCCCAGCCTCCCTGCTCTTCCCCTGGGCGTCCTTCAGCAGGGCCTGGGTGTCATCCAGCTTGGCCCGGTGGTCACCCATCTTCTCTGTCACCTCTGCCTTCAGGTCCTCCGTGGCCTGGTGGGGGTCCCCGAAGAGACGCTTCACCTTCTGGTACAGGGCCTCTGCCAGTCTGGAGAGAGGTAGAGAGAGAGAGGTAGAGAGAGAGAGAGAGAGTGAGAGAGAGAGAGAGAGAGGAGCGAGAGACGAGAGAGAGAGAGAGAGATGAGAGATGAGAAGAGAGAGAAGGAGAGAAGAGAGAGATGAGGAAAGAGAGGGAGAGAGAGCAGGATGGGAGAAGAAGAGAGAGGGAGAAGAGCAATTGAAGAAACGTGAAGATCACATCAGAGCCCTGTATGGTGTGAGGAGGAGATATTCTTTCTCGCTCCGTTCTTTTTTCTACTCCTGTCTGCGGATCAGACCAGCCACTAGATGTCCCTCTTTCTTCTTGCATGACTCTTCCAGGCCTCAGCCAGAAGGAAACTGGTTGGATTAGAATGAATAATATTCCTATCACCCACCTCAACTTTTAATTAGTTCATTAAGATTTTGCATAAGAAAAGTAAACTTTATTTATTCAGCTGTGATTTGCTTGGCCACAAAATTATTTGTAGAATATAAAAAAAACGGAGAAACAAAACGCAAATGTGAAAGTTACTACAGAATACCAGTATGTTTTTAAATGGATCGCTTCATTGTTTACTAGGATATGAAAGCATTCATTTAGCTGAGAGTATAATGACCCAGGAAATGCAGGGGATACCTTCCTAGAAATATGACACAGGAGTCCTTCAGTGGTGTATAACATGTGCGCGTATGACTGGATGATCCCATCCCTGTGTGGACCATAATAGCTTGACATCTCCCTGCTATCTGTGATCTGAGGTTGACTAGTCAGGCTTTACCCCAGCTCATCCTCTGAGATGTGCTTCTTGCCTCCCAGCTGGCGTTTGCGGAGCTCAGCTAGCATGGTCTCGATCTCCTGGTGCATCTCGTTCAGACTCTTCTCTGGAGCTCCGTTCCTCCTGCCCAGAGTCTCATTCAGCTCTTTAGCCTTGACCTTCAGAACTGGAGGATGGAGGACATGGGGAAGTCATTGTCATTTTTACACACACATGCAAACACACACACACACACACACACACACACACACACACACACACACTGCCATAAGGCACAATTCTCCATCTCCTGATACTGTCATATACTGTCACCTCTAGCTGAAAGCCTGAGAACAGAATGTGTTATAGAAATCAAACAGTGTTTGAGACATGTCTCCTCTCATCAAAACACACTGCTGCTGCTTTGACATGCCATGAAGATTACCATTATGTTAGTGGCAGACATCCAGACTGACTACCACATGTTAAAGAGGCAGAACAGAGAGAGAGAAAGATAGAGGGGGGATCTGAGAAGGCTGTGCGTCTGTTCACTAGGCTGCTAACGTCAAAGAACCATGCTGAATCCAACCTGGCCTCTCAACCCGCCCAAGGGCCAGTTAGTTAGTACAGGAAATGCGTACTACTTTTGACCTACACTAGATGCCATGATTAGCAATGAGCTCATCCTCATGTGCGTGTTATGTGTGTACAGCCAAGCCTTTGTGTGTGTGTTCTTGGAGCACAGAGGGACGAGCTACAGAAGCAGCTAGCTAGCGCTCAAATTAAATGAGCTGCTTAAAGGCAAGGTAGAACAAAGTGATTGACAACAAAAGCAGAAAAGTTTCACTTTTTACATCCCATTCAATGGCAATGGAGGCTTCTTTTAGGTTGATTCAAAGACATTCAAATTCTGCTTGACAGAACAATGCACTTTAATCAAATTAATGTGGCCTTTGAAATCAAAACCCAATCAGTTCAAAATAAATGGAGAGAGAAGTTGCTCCGGCTGGGTTCTAATTTGAAAATAAATCATCAAATACAAAATGAAGATGAGGCTTAATTGGATGCATTCCTTACATTCCTGAAGAGTTCAAACATAAACATTTAATGTAATTACAAAGACAAAATATATACCTATTAAAGGAGCCCGGTGCGGAATAATTACATACTATGTTTCAAAGGCAATTAAACACTTAAACGTTCCATGGATTGCATCATCAGATTGATTTGTTTACGAACACATCAGCATGAAAAAACTATCCAATCTCCTCCTGACCGCTTTTACAAGCTGCTCGATGTGTTTATGAAAATCTGTGGGGAAGTTAAGTGAGAATTTGACTTTGAGTGTGTTCACTGCTTTTTGGAAATCTTTCACAAAATACAATTTTTATGTAAATGAGGGTTGGCATCAGTTAAGTGTGTCATTGCGCTCAATCAGTAGACCTGTAAATAGTCCATTTGTACCAGTCCAATTCTGTGAAGGGTCAGAGACTGAGTTTGAGCTTCAGTGAAGGTTTGAGTGTGTGTGTGTGTGTGTGTGTGTGTGTGAGTGTCTATGTGTGTGTGTGTGTCTCTATGTGTATGTGTGTTATGTGTGTGTCTATATGTGTGTGTCCATATGTGTGTGTGTATGTATATGTGCCGTATGGATCTGGCAGTACCAGTCCCACATGCTGTAGAGCGTGGAGCGGGGCTGGTCCATGCTGGCGAGGCAAGCGAGGCTGGGTGGAGAAAGGTTCCCTGCTGACACTAATCACGTTGCCCACAGTGAGGAGCCACCATGTGCCAGTCCACTCTGATTATATCGCTTTCTCCAGACCCCATCCTCCATCCCTATTAATTAGGCCTTTACATGGCTACACGGCTACAGCGACTAGGCCCTTTATCAACTAAATCATCTTCCAATTTCAACCCAGAGAGAATGTCACAGCACAGAGGCGCCTAATCACAGAGCAGAGGACACAGCACAGAGCCCAGGCACTAATTTCCTCAACATCCTGACCCTCCGGCCTTTACAACACTGAATTAGTACCCTGCTCTCAGACACTAAGCCAGCACTACGGCAGGAATGTCACTTAGATGTAACCGTTTTTTAAATGGGAGAATCTTATAGGAATGTAGTACCTTCTGCAGCCAGTAGGGTGTTCTTGACGAAAAGTTCCAGGTCTTCGGCTCGTTTGTGGATTCTATCGGCATCGGCGCCTGTTTGCTCGCCATCTGCCGACACTTTGGTCGCCTGAGCGAGAACACACACACACACACCCAATCAGTTGGACGGACATGAACTGATCCAGGATGGGCCAGTGTTCAGTGTTCATTCAAGATGATTGCACATTTCCTATCCTGAATCCTGTGGCCCCTATGGTCTAACAATGGACAGCCTCAGAGTACCTGGTCAAACAAATCCATTTCATAATCATCAGTCAGAGTTGGTATGTCCTTTCAGAAATGCTCTATTGATGAAAAATAATGATAGAGGGATTGAAGCAGCTGAGCACCATATTGGCTAGTGAAATACAAGTAGTCAATTGTCTGCCCTACATACACAAACAAACAACATTAGGATATCTTAAAGCATTTAGGAAATATAGACCTGTAAACACACAGATACAATAGGCGGAAATATCAACTATTAATATTTAAGATTAATGTAAACTTCACTTGGTAATCCGTATCTGGTAAACCGGCCCATAGTGGGTTACAACTTTCCAAGCTCTCAGTGCTGTATGGTCCTGCCTGGCAAATACACATACAGTAACACGTTTTTTAAAATGTTGTGGCTAATTGGAAAACACCCCCTGAACTCAAAAAGTGCAGAACAATGCTCACGTAAGCTCATGTAACCTAAAATTGCTAACTCTGATATTGCAAAAATGTGCATACAGTTCAACATGTTGTGTCTATTGTTATCAGCTCTAAGGCAAGTGGGCTCAGACACTGAGAACTGTCTTCAGTGAAAGGTTCCTCTGTGGATTTTATATGTTTAGCCCATACTCTTGCAGTTACATTAGACGGCCCCGCTAGACTTGACTCCAAATCCAATATGACATCCAAAATCCAATATGGCTGCCACATTACCATTAAACGGTGGTTTAATCACCTGTATATGTGCACGTTTTAAATTAGATACATTTTTCAGATTTGTGTACTGTACTTATGACCTGTACTCAAGACTATTTTTGTGTACTTCAACTATGTTAGGAATCCAATATGCCCACCATATACACTACCAGTCAAAAGTTTGGACACACCTACTCATTCAAGGGACTTTCTTTATTTTTACTATTTTTAACATTGTAGAATAATAGTGAAGACATCAAAACTATGAAATAACACAGTTTCCCGTATGTATCAAGATTGGTCCACCACCCAAAGGACATCCAGCCAACTTGACACAACTGTGGGAAGCATTGGAGTCAACATGGGCCAGCATCCCTGTGGAACGCTTTCGACACCTTGTAGAGTCCATGCCCCAACTAATTAAGGCTGTTTTGAGGGCAAAAGGGGTGCAACTCAATATTAGGAAGGTGTTCCTAATGCTTTGTTCACTCAGTGTATATCAACAATGGACTAATGAAACAAATACCAAAATATAGTTTTTGGGTGGAGTTTTCCTTTAAGTTGCCTCCTTACCATTTAGAATTGAGCTTTGATTAATTGCTAGTCCAATACGTTTGCCTGAATCCAACAAGACCTTCTGCTGGCTCACTGCATTTGTGATGCACATTGGAATGTTTCAGTGCACTCTTATCCTGTTTGGGTTGAGCTGGCACATTGCTTCTTCCAGACAATCATGTCCACCATCCTGGCTGTCTGCCCTGGAGTTGCCGTATATGTTGACTTGGTGACATTATGGTGTATGGGGAAGATGCAATCACACACGACAAGCGCATAAGGCAGGTGTTCACTACAATGAACCAACACAACCTGACACTCATTGACAAGAAATGCCATCTACTTATTGGGCCTTCACATGTCATAGGAATTGCACCTCTCCAATGTCAATGCCATCTTGAATCTCCCAGAACTGTCCTTGATTGGCCCACTCCACAATCAGTCCTCGCCTCAGGCAGTTACTAGAGACAGAGACACCATGGAACTGGACTGCCACATGTCAGGAGGCCATTCAACAGCCAAAATGCCATCTGGAAATTTTGGCTG